AATGACCAAGCCAATGCTGTGAAAACTTAAAATTAGCAATTGCTAACTTCTCTGCCTCATCTTGAGCTAGTCTTGCATTTAATCTCATAATTTCAACCATTTTCATTTTAATACTAGAATAATTAACTGTGAAACCATCTTTATGAAGCTTCATTATCCATTTATAGAGTTGGGCTTCTTCTTTAGAAAACAATGTATGATGTCCAGAACCAACTCTTCGGGAACTCTTTTGAAGAGGGGGGTCTTGTGAAAATTGTTTAACCTACTGACCAACCATCGTTAAATCAAGAGAATAGCAGTGAGCAGCAAATTTATTTGAAGTACGGTGTGCTAATTCTATAACTTTACTTTTTTCTTCAACCATATAAGTGTTTTATTGCCTTTTCATATTTACTATAGTAAGGCCATACAAATGAAATTAATTGGTTTTTGTAGCCTGAATAGGTTGTAAATTTTATATAGAGTTTTTTTTTTTTTTTTTTTTTTTTAAAAAAAAAAAAAACTATGAAATGAACCTTTTTTTAAATAACAAGCAACAAAATGTTACAGGATTAATTAAATTACAGCTTATCATTATCATTACGAAAATTTTAATTATGCAAAATGTGAATTTTAAAGTTAAATTCTTCAACAGAATGTTGCATGATCAATTAAAGTTATAGCTTATCATCATCATTATGGAAATTTGGCGAAATTTAAAGTTTAAGTAAGTTTAAACAAGTTTAAACAAGGGAACTTCTTGAGAAAAAAATAATTGTTACTCTTAAGGTTGCTTATCATAGTAAATTACCAGTAAGTTACCACAGTATGGTAAGTTATTGTAAAACATAAATAAAAATGCAAGTGATACAGTAGCTTACTATTTTAGTAACTTATCACTAAAAATTATAAATTATGTACTATCTTTTAATTCCAACTTGCAGGTGTATTTTTTTGGTAAATTTAACTTGGTGTATAATTGCTGTTGAGATGTAGAACACTGACTATGTATTATTTATATTATGCATAACGATAATAATAATGATAATGCTTATTAATTAAGGATCCAGGCACACTTTTTAAGAATTTAACACATGAATGCTGCAAAATAAATATTTAAGTTTTTACTGCAGTGAACCTACGTAGCCTCTAAAGAATCAGCTATACATATTAGATATCAATATTTTATTGTTGTTAGAGCATATATAATAAATTATGAATACTCGTAGATAACTCACTATACGCAGCAAAAACTCATTTAACCTTTAAAAGATAGTAAACATGAAGATCTTTAATGCTAAAGTTTGTATTTCCAAAATAAGCTACTTTGTTAAACTAAATTACTTTTAAAAACTATAAATTCCAAAAATAAGCTATCCCTTGTATTATATTTAAGTTATTTTAAAAGCTATAACTCCCAAAATAAGCTACTTACCATTTCTTATATTCAAAATCTCCTAAAAAAAGGTAGCTTAATTTCGAGAAAATACGGTACTCAAGTACATCTTATATTTATTATTAAATCTTTTAAGAAAACTTTTACAAAATTTTTATATTTAGACTAAACAAAATTATTACTTCTAATAACTTCTTTATTAATCTTAATTTTGCTACTTCTAAAAACTTCTTTATTTATATTCTAATTCAATTTTTATATAATATAATTGAATATTACAAAGCTAATAACAAAAAAGCTTAAGGTATAATGATATAATGAAGTGAACAGGTTGTTAATCTTCAAGTGGCAGGTTTAGTGTTCAAATACCATAGACAGTGAAATTTGAAAATTATACCTATATTATAATAACTGTGTCTTGTTGATCAGTTAAATAAAAAAAATGATCTGTAATTTTAGAGACACTATCTTGAATAGGAGCTCAGAGCATTTATTTTTAAATTTTTTTTTTTCAGTATTAAGGTAACCTTTTTGGTTGTAGCTTTTTATTAATACTTATATCAGATACATGTTTTATATAGATGTATCTATAATGAACTATCAGATGAGTATATAACTAGCTATATGTGTAACTTTTCTATATTACTTATTTAAGAAGTCTACCTAAATGTTCTCTACCAGTTGCTATACCTAACACTCCTGCTTAGATGTTCCATTTAAACCTTCTGATCTGACTCTGGTATTAATTTCACCAGATCACAGACCCAGATCTATTCGCTTTTAACTATAGAACTATAATCTTTAGACTATTTTTATTCTCAAGATAAACCTACTAAAGTGAGCCATATTTCTTTTTACTACTAACCTGGTTTAACACTATGGCTGAGACCAACACTTGCAGTTAGAGTTATCTCTTAAACCACTATTACTCTTGTAAAGTTCACTCAAGCTCTGGTACATATCTTTCTGACTTCTTCTTTATCATCTACTACTAGCTGCAACTTGGAACTAACCGACTCTTTAGACTTCCAATTCAGATGGCCTGGTATGATATACTTAAATATCCTTTTCCTTTAGTGATTCCAGCAGTCTGGTTGGTCATGTGCTTCTCTACACATTTTGTTATTCAGTTTATTCAACAGTTCCTATGAAGGTGTTTCATAGGCTTCTATTAGTCTAATGGCATTATCGAAAGTTTGTGCTATCTTTTTACTCAGAATTTCCAAGTAGGTTTCTGTCTTTTCAGTTTCTTAGCCTTCTACACCTGGTGATCTTATCATAGGTTTGCACCGAAGCCTTATATGACATCAGTTTTTCATATTCCTCTAAATATATGTAACATTACACTTTATATACATTACCAAAATTTTTAAACATATTTATATCGATATATAGCATTTAATCAATATATATTGATTAAAATTAATCGATATATATTGATTAAAATTAATCGATATATATTGATTAAATGCTATATATTGATATATATCACTAATAATAAATAATGATTTTTGATATATAATGATATTAAATGATTATTATTACTATTGATTAGTAATGATTTTTATAAAATTTGTTAAATTTTTGTTATATATCGTTAATAATCACTTACAATAATACTCTACAGGGATGCTATATATCGATAATAATATGAACATTATCATTAATATATAGCACTTTTAAAAATTTAGTGATGTAAATGCTCTGAGTTCCAAATATCAGGTGAAACCCAACTTGGAGTACCTAAGATTACAAATGCCCAAAACCTAACTGATTGGCAAGAGACAGTTACCATAACACAGATATAATTTCCAAAATCCATCATCTGTAGGAATTGAACCTTAGACTTCCACTTGAGAGTTGACAACTTATTTACTTTACTAGATTATTATACCCTTCACTTAGAGCATTTATATGAAATGTAATATTACATATACATAAAAGAATGTTAATAACTGATATTGCATATAACTCTGATACAAATCTACAATGAAGCTATCAGATGCATAACACTAAGGCCATACCAATTTGATTATCTGTTTAATATAACCCTCCTCCTCTAGATTTTGAAATTTTATATGAGTTAAAATACATTATATTAGCCAATCAAATTGTAGCATTAGTAATTATGTGTATTCAATATTTTTTACATTATTTCTAGCCAATAAAATTACAGTTTTTTTTTTGTATTTTTTTTACAATGCCTTATCATTCTTCTATAGGCTATTCTATATTATGTTAAACAGAGAATCAAATTGGTATAATCTAAGAAACTGAAACACAGAAACCCACTTGGAAATTCTAAATATAAAAGGTAGCATGAACTTTTGACAGCACTATCAGATCATCAAAAGGCTCCAAAAAAGAATTATTAAAATTATTAAGATAGATCAGATAACAATATACTTAAATAAACATATACCAACCAGGCTATCAGAAACTGCCAAAAAAAAAGAATCTTAGAATATCATATTAGGCCATCTGAATTGGTAGTTTGTGAAGTTTTGTAGGTCTTGTAAGTTCAGAAGTAAAAGTATAAGTTAGGAAAAAAAGGTATCAGGATTCTAGTAAACTTTACAAGAGTATAGCAATTTAATAGTTAGTTCTGACTGCAAGTAATGGTCTAGGTCAGAGCAGTACTAGTTTAGCTATAAGTATGAGATATAAAAAGCTCTGGTGGGCTTAGTATAAAGCTAAATATAACTTAGTGATCATGGTATATTTGCAGATTAATATCGCAATTAATAGAATAGAGGTAAATATAAAAACTAGAGTATTTAAATAAAGAACCTATAGGCAGGTTCTAAGTATGGCAACTAGTATAGAACCTTCAAGTAGACTATTTAAAATAAACAATAACTAAACTTATATAAGTGACTAGTTGTATACTTTTTTCATAATTGCCTCTATAGCTGTTGTAAACAATAGTTATATACTAACTGATTATCAATAAACTTCTGGATCACAATTATTTATTATAATATTAAAAAAAAATAACAAAAAAGGTTAAATATTATTTCAAGATATGTTCAAGATCTTTGATAAAATTAATATTATAAAACTTCAAAATGTCTGTAAATAAATTAGTATTCCAAATTCTAGTATAAACCTTATTACAGAATTATATATTTTTTAACTTGCTAGAATTTTTACTAATTATGGCCTTATGCAATTAGTTTAAATTAAAGTTGGTATAGAGCAAGAAAAAACCTACTTACTCCTACTTTAAAAAATCTATAACCTTATTCTTTTTTTCATTAATCAAAAATATAAAAATCAATTTCTCAAAATATCTGCACAATTACTACTTAATATTATTTATAATACTTCTGCTTAATTAATTACTATTCTTTTATTAACCTATATAGATAATACTATCTAACATTGTAAAGACCTATTTACAATGCAAAATATACTCAATAATATATCTACTCTTTACAAACTTAACAATATTGAAATAAACCTCTTCAAATTAGACTTTTTATATATTAAACTCAAACTATTTATCTCTTTTTTAACTATTTTTACTGTTAATAATCAAATTATTTTTTCTAGAAAAGGCCAAGTTATTATTTAATATCTAGACATATTTATAATGAAAATAGATCCTCAAAACCAACTCTTAATACTATTTTTAACAAAATTGAAAACTTACTCAACCTCATTAATACAAAAAAATTACATTTTTACAAATTTTAGCTTTGTTTAATTTTATTTTTCAACCTTTTCTAAAATATTTATTACAAATAACTTTAATTCACCAAAATACTCAAATTAAACTCTCTTGCATATTTACTATCTAGTCTAAAAAAATGCTAATATTAGCAAAAAACACTATCAATATTATTTTTACTAATCTATTATTCTTTAATCTACTAATGCTCAACAATATTATATAAAAATTAAGTGTTTCTAATATTGAATATACTTTTAACTTTATATCTTTATTTAATACTATTAGTATTTTCCAAATTAAGACTTGGCTTTTTAAAATCTGACAATCTAAACTCATAATAGATATATTTAATACTCACTATCACAAATCACAAAATTTTATACTAATCTTTCATATCTGCCAACTTGCAAAATATAATATTTTATTCTTAAATTTTTTATTATTATTAGAAATCTTTACTGATTACAATATAATATATAAAATATTTTCTTCAAAATTATTAAACCTAACTATTCAAAGTTTGAAAAACAACAGAATTCTATTTCTTAAACAAATCACAACAGCAGACAACTTATATTTTCTTCTATAGAATTACATATATCTGTAAACAAACAAACCTATACAAAGCTATTAACTAACATGGTTTACTCAAATCTCTTTTTTTAACAAAAATATTATTATTATTACAATCTAGTCTTATTTAATTCTCTTTTTCAAAAACTCTTTTATTAACTCAACAGACATTCTTTTTTTTACTTCAACTTATCTTTTTTTTTACAAAATCTTTTATAGTAATAATCAATCAAACTTTCTTTTTTAACATACTTATTTTCAACAAACCAACTTTTATCAACTCTATAATTACTCATTTGAATTTACTATAATTTCTTTCATCTTATCTCCAATAACTTCAAACTTTCAATCTATTAGTATTTTTTATAATCAAATAAAACTTACTAAAGATTTACTACAAATTAACTTTAATAAAATTTTTTGCTTTTTCATATTAACAATCATACATCATCCTTATCTTTATCTCTTTCTTATCCTTTAATAAATCTAATTTTTTCTAAAATACAACTTATTTAATAAACTGTTAAATCAATTTTATATCAAAATTAATTAATCAACTCTACTTCTCAATCAGAAACTCTAATCTAAACAACTTAATTTTTTATATTAATAGTTCTATTAAAGGCTATTAAACACCAAATATTAAATCAGGCATAGACTAGATTTGCAAAACAAATATTAATATAAATTTTAATACAAGTACAAAATCAGATATTAATACTAATCACACTAAACTTAAAGCAAGTTTATTATTTTTTCTAGTTATTTCATCAAACATTACTGTTATAATTTATATTAACAACCAAACAGTAATCAAAAACTTGTAATATATCTCTTCTTTAAAATAATTACATATTAAAAATTAGAATTTCATCATCTTTATTAATTATCTCAAAATACTTAAAAATCTTAATATACAATTTTTAAAAAATTAAATTATACATAAATTTATTTTACAACTAAGCTGACTTTTTAGCCAAATAAGAAACTTCTAAATTTATTTTTAAACTATTATTACCAATTACTTCAACTTACTTTTTATAGAATAATCATCTTATAATATTCAAAATTCATAATTTTATTAAAAATATTATCATAATCTAAGAGCTTTTATCCTAGTCTATACTTAAACATTTTTAAAACATTTTAGAAACTAACTAGGCTCTTAATTTTTAAAGAATTAAATCTATGAAACATGATATACAAAATATTCTTTTTGTATCAAAATTCTTACAAACAATCTGCCCACTATAGAAAATCTTAATATGTGTTATTCTTATCTTTATACAAAGTGGGATACTACCTATAATATAATTATATTATAGGTGGTATCCCACTTAGGTTAGATTATATAATCTAAATACTACTATATAATCCAAATATCGTTATATAATCTAGATATCTTTATATAGTCTGAATAACAATATATAATCTGAGCACCACTATATGATCTAAATAATATAATCTAATAAATGCTATATAATCTAAACATGTAATCTAATTGCTACTATATAATCTATATATTTCCTATATTGGATATCTATTTTATGTTCTAGCTATCTCTTTGAATTCTTTCTGATATTTATATTTTATCATCATACAATCTAACTACTACCCACTATTTAATCTAACTACCACCATATGATCTAAATACTGCTATTTCCTTCTTGTTCCTAATCCATTTACATACCAAATTCTATATTGTTTGTACTAGCCTTCTATACCTGTTTGGATGCCTGGTTTTATATTGAGGGTGCTGGCCCTCTGCATCTGTTTGGGTGCCAAATTCTATATCAAGGTGTTTACCTTTTTGCACCTGTTTGGTTGCCTATTAAAATACTGAATTGTGGTAAAAAAAAATATTATGTCAAGTGGTACAGTAAATTCATGGTTAATTTTGGCTGAGATTATGCTATAATTCTGGCTGATCTTTAGAACACATGATTCGAGGATCCCAACTCAGCACCATAGTAGTAGAGCAATAGTATCTAGAACTATTATAGCATTAGCAGAAAACTGGTAGAGAACCAAAAAGGTTCTATTAGTTCTTCAGTTTCAGACTACTTATATGCCAGCTTGGATACCAAGTTCTTTTCTCGAAGTTCTGACTGGGTACATACTTTTAAGATGAAGCCATCTGCTGATAAATATATATATATATTTATATTTCTCTAGAAATATTAGCAGAAGGTTTCATATACTATACAATCTAACTACTATCCATTATTTATATAATAAATTATGCAGAAGCCTACACTTTTAGATGCATATTTAGGTGTTTTCATTCTACGATTTGATTATCAAGTTCGCCATTATGCCTTTTTTACATTCATCAAAAAAAATATTTTAAACATTTCTAGATTTTATAGAGATAGTATAACTTTTTGAACTAACATCATGCATATTACAGCTATTTTCGACCAAACTGTTCATACTGGAACCAACCTCCTCGCCTACTATGATGGTGCTGATTAATATTCAAATGACTCAAGCAGTTGTACTAATAATAAATTCGACTTAGGGTCAGATGATTATAATGACTATAAGTCTAATTATAAGTCAGATAATAAAGAAGCTCCCTGCACTTTAATCAGCACTATCGAGACTCCATTGGTTCAACTACCAAATGCAAAAGAGCAAAAGAATAATGTGGCATATACTTTAAGGCAGGAAAAATTTAATGATAATTTTTCTTCCAAGGACTTGCTAAATGCCATTTGAGAAATTTTCCTATCACCACCTAAAGATATGTCAGATGAAAAAGAGTTATTTGAATATCTCCTAATCTATTCATTTCTTTTTCTAAATGAAAAAGGCTCCTGCTTATATAATGCCTATAACCGGAATGAAGTTGAAAATAAATTGGTTATCAAAATCGATCAAGATGATCGAGCCCCAAAATTTTCTGTTGCAGATGATATCTCAGAAGTATATGGTCTTTTTGAAATTCATGAATGTATTAACGAGCAAAAACCTTTAAGGGCTATAATTGATATTAATGCTACACAGAAAGATATAAAAGTAAATAGAATTAAGTCTGACAGTGTATTCATCCAAATCTGTTGCTCTTTCATAAGAGCTTTGTACTGAATTTTTGACTGTAACTGGAAGACATTCTTAAAGAATTAGTAATTGTTACATTATCAGACTCTAGTAAATGTAGTTACCATCTTTTATATGCTCTGATACTTCTTATCGACTATAACGAGCTTAAAGCATTCACAGAATTGGTATACACTTTGACAGGCAAAAAATTCAGCAGGTTTATTGATAGAGGATTACCTGGTCAAAACTTTAACCTTTATCTAATCAGTTCAGCAAAAAAAGGTTGTATGAAGCGTATTCTGTTATCTTCAATAACTAATGGCTGGAATAAACCTGATCACACCAGAGTTCAACCACCTTCTAATTTGAGTCTCAAAGTAAGACCTAGAATGCTTAGCATAAAAAAAAATAATAGTTCACTAAAGATAATCATAGGCCATGATATACTACAAAAATGCATAGATCTTGTTTTACAAAAATATTCTAATTATTTTAGGGATTATACTATTGAAGAAAAGAACTCAAAAAACTTTGTATATTTTAACCAAAAAGCTCCACTAGAATGTCCACAATGTAAATGTATACATGACAAGGATCAGTGGTGGTTCAGTCATGTATGTGCTAGCAATAGAAAATTCATCGTAAAATGCTTCCGGCAAGGTAGTGATAAACCTGAGGAAGTATTTGAATGTGACCCATCTATTGCAGAAAAAATTCTGCAAAAAAAATAAAAATTTATCACTACCTTCTCATATAGTAAAATACTCAGGCTTCCCAAAAGCTTTTGTAAAAATGCCATATTGGGTCAAATATAGTAAGACCCTTATGGCTACAGAAATATATAAGGAGAGATATGTAAAACTATTACCCAATGAAGGTGATATTTATGTGGAGTCGCCTTAGGAAACTGGAAAAACATATGCTCTTGAAAATTTCGTTATTCCTAAAAATGTAAATTTGCTAGTATTATCCACGTGTTACTCTTACTCAAATGCTGTTACTACAAGACTTAATTTTAAGTCATATTATAATATCGATGGTAATATAAATCTATCTGATCACAAGAGGGTAGTGTGTCAGATAGAGAGCTTACATCATATTACTAATAATTGTAAATGCAGTAAAAAATATAAATGCCCCCTAATCCAATACAACTTATGGCTTGACAAAATAGTATCTATAATTGCTCAAGCACAAAGTCATCTGGCAGGTCAATCAATAGAAAAATTATATAAATTAGTTCAAGAGCCAAGGTGTATTATCATCATGGATAATGATCTAACTAACCTTAACATTAAATAGATTAAGGCTCTTCGTAAAGATATATCCTTCTCAATTAATAACATTTATCAACCACAGAAAGGGAAAACATTCCGCCTAGCTTCTAATAAAGAAACTGTGTTAGCTGAACTATAGGATTGGGCTAGGGGAGTATCTTCACTATCTTTTGAGAATCGAACAAGTGCATCACTCATTTGCCATCTTAGAAAAGATATGCAAGAGATCGTCTGCACTCTTAGGACCGATTTTTCAGAATTGTAAATCAAGGAATATTATGATAAATCTGATCTCATAGAAAAGCACATAATTTTAGCAATGTAGAAGAATCATAGAAAGACATAGACTTAATTGCTTATACTAGTACTCTAAAAATAGGTGTTTCATGTACTAATCCTAAGTTTGAACAGGCATTTTGTCTCTTCAATAGCTATATAGAAACAAATGCTGGAATGAATCAGATGTTATTCCACATGCGATGTATTAAGGATTATATATGCCATATTGAGCAAAGATTATCTAATGTTCCTATTTCAGAAAAGGGGTTATTTCAGTGATTATTAAATGCCAAACGTAAATGTCTTCCCCAGGAACTTCAGAATAGAGGAATATTTCTGGATATCGACTCTATTATCCAGAATAAGGATGTACTAACTGTTTGTTTATGGGTGACCTATATGTTAAAAAGATTTTATTCTCAGCACTTATTTGGTTGAAGAATGGTTGATTTTCTCCAAAATGCAGATATGATAATTTCTGTCATAGAACCCATTCCTAAATCTAAAAATATTACGATGTTGTTATTCCAAACAGTGAAGGTGTACTCCTCTACTATTAAAGCAGAGAAAATAGCAGATGTATCTAATACTACTATTATCGATTGTAAGACTGCTGAATTATTAGAGAATAAATCAAGAAAGACTTTAGAAGAGATGTGCTCTTTAAACTGGCATCATATTGTGGATTGTTATAAGATCTTATCTAAATCATTAATTAAGAATTTCATCTCAAAGTATGGGAATTATAATCATATGAAATAGTTTAGGGCTTATAAGCAATTACAAGATGCTGGTACTAACAATGAAACAGCCGTTGAGGCTATATCTTATAAAGATTACAGAAAAGATAGGCTCACAACTGCAACCTGGGCTGAAAGGCATTGAATTTGCCTAGAATTATTAAGAATTTACACACTAGCTAGAAATATCGATGATAGAGCATAATATAAAGCTGATGAAGTCAAAACATGTATAGGCTCTCCCAAATCAACATCATATCTCCAAGGTTTAGTGCCTAAAATGGCTCGAGTATTTGATAATACAGATGCATTGTGCAGAGCTAAAAAATCGGGATTCAAAACAGTTTAGACGAAACTTAGCTTACTGAATTCAGCACTATATGCAACATATGAGTTAAAATTTAAGACTATAGATTAGAATCATAGACATTACCATCTAGTTGGGTCTTTTGATAGTAAAGATGCTCCTGTATTACCTTCATATTAAACAGGCTTAGAAATTTACTGAATGAATAGAAAAGATACTCGGTATGACTATAGTGAGCTTTTGCCTGATAAAATATTAATATAATATATCATATTCTAACCAGGTAGATACTTTTAAGATGAAGCCTTCTGCTGATATATATATTATATATATATATTTCTCTAGAAATATCAGCAAAAGGCTTCATATTTTGATACATATTGTTTATATCTATATTCGATCTGGTTACGAGGTGGATCTGGTCCTTCAATCACATAGCCTAGCCTTGGATAGGGTAGTCTTCTGCCAATATTTTATATAATAATTCCATAGAAGCCTACATATCTGAAATGTATTTTTTTACTCACTTCTCAGCAGTTAATTCAGAAGTTTTTTGTGACCTTAGCCTCATACTTTTGCCGCATTCGATAATTTAGTATATGAAACTTAACAAAATGTTTGGGGCAACAACTTGTGATAGAAGCAGTAGAAAATCTACAAGCAATACGAAGTTTTTTTTCTATATTCTTTTCATATAATTTCCAGTGCCTATAACACCCTGCAGAGTGCCAGGAATTATTTCCACAGAAGGTACCATCCTTCTTGATATGTATACAAGTAAGGTGAGCTATGGCCAAAGGTGCTAAAGCAAAAGTATTTTAGGATATAAAACCCTCTTCACTTTTAATTTTATAATAAAATGTGTATTTAAATTAATCGATATTATGAAGAGATAAAACATCTTTTCATATAAACATTATAGACATAATGCAAAAAATAGTACTCAATACAGTAACTGGCCGATGGATCAACTCAAATAGAAAACTATTCCAGAAGTTGATTTGTGAAGGGTTCATATATACTAATAAACTTTCAAATTATTTAAAGGATATTTGGGGTAATATATTTATCTTTTCCTATTCAGCCTTAATTCTGCCCTTATCTATCCTAGCTAGACCAGGTATTTGCAGAAGGTTCCCTATTAGTGTGAGATCCACCGTTAAGGGTAAAATGAGTCTATTTACTCAAGAAAAAAATAAACAATTCTCACTTTAGAATCTGGTCCAGTTGGGCCATTTTAATGAAAATTTAATCATATTATTAAAATTATGCTGAAGACATAAAGAAACAAAAGCTTGGAGGAATGACATACTTATGAAATTTCTCCATCAGCTGAATTTAACCCCTTCAAAGTATAGACCAGGTGCTTTATATAACACATTCACAAAAACAGATGTTTTAGAGCTGGAGCATATATTAGCTCTAATACGGTTACTTGACTAAAATGTAATTATAATATTCTTTCAAGAAAAATTTTATTCATAGTTTTGGAATAGCAGATCTGTGATTATGTATCTTTTTTTGCATATCATATTTATATACAGATTTTAAATCAATATAAAACTCCCGACCAGAGCATAAGTTATATCATTATTTTTTGCTTTCTTTTCAAAGAAGCATAGCTCTAAGGAAATTTTTTAAATTGAACTTTTTCCAGAATATATAATCTGAATACTATAGATTAATTTAACACTCATCTTATATTCTACTTACCACATCATGTCTGCCATTACAACCAAATTCGTCACAGACCACAAACTCACCAATGAGACAAGTCTTGAAAAGCTTAGCCAATATGTGTCGAAAATACTTGAGCTCTTAACAACTGGCACACCACTAGTAGATAAAGAGAAAAGATACCAGGCCTGTAATCGACTTCAAAAAGGATATGAATTTAGCAAAGAACAAGCATTTGCATTGATTCCTCACGAGAGAATTAGGAGAAGTAAAAGCCAAGTAATCTTCAAAAAAGGAGGAAATGTAGATATATGCTTAGTATCTGATACCACTCTAGAAAAGGAGACTATCAAACAAATGACTTAGCATATTATAAAAGATAAACTTAGTAAAAAAGATGTAAAGACAATATCTAGAACCTTAGTCAAAACATCTTCTAATGCCATTATTGCCTTATCCCACCTCTCTAGGCTTCGAAGAGAATTACAATTCCTCAATGTTTTAGAAAAAATAATTTTTGCTACATTAAATCCAGAGATAACTAGGTTATCCAATAAAGTTCAAAAGGAACATAGTAAGCAATATGAAAATAAAAGAATTGATTTTCCAGACCACTTTTTGTTAGAATCGGTCAAGGAAAGATTGGATAAGTATGATGTATCAAATATATCTGACAAACAGGCCCTAACTGATGTAATGATAATGTTCTGCATTCATTTGGCTGAAATTAAAAACTTGCGTATATCTAATGAGACTGTAATTGGATATGCAAAAAACTGAGATCAACAAGATATTTTTCGAGTGTTTAGATCACTAGAAAAGAAAAGGAGCAGGCTAAGCAACTTCTTACTTGGATTCAAAATAATATTTGTTCTGGACAGTTAAAGGACTCAGGAAAACTTGGATCTACGTACTTAAGTATATTTCTAAAAAAAAATGAATTTATTCCTGAAAGTAGTGAACTACTACTTCCTAGCTCTTTACGAAAATTAGGAGCAGTGTTCACTTCTGTAACACATGGGCCTAAAAATGCATCAAAAGCTAACACTTATGCCAGTAAAGCCCTTCAACATTCACTCGATAATCATGCTTCTCCATCTAAGAGATACACTATAATTAATATGTGAAAAAGAGAAGAATCATATAATCAGGTAAGACCATTCTTTATCAAAGATGAAAGCTAATTACATAGATGAGTTAATATCGTTTATTAAATTTTATTTTTTCGTTTACCTAAGATATTGCATATATAAAAGTTTGGAGAGTTTTTTTGTGAAACCATACTGTATATGCCCTATATGACAAAAAAATATAAATTAGCTAACTTGTTCTAAACATGGGCAATGATTGGTGCTAGCTGAATTTTTTATAAAAACTTCATGCAATTGTTGAGGAGTAAGATTTGGAATTAGTGGAAGTCCCTCTCCAATAAACCTAATTTTCTTTACCTCCATTTCGCCATATTTCTTTAATACCACACCTGGATCATCTTCTAGGGGATTATAAAATTTCTCAAACTTTTGAAAATATGCCCTTGCATTTTCATCAGCTTCTTCTGCCTTTCCTCAATTAGAATATCCAATAATATCTAGTTCATCCTGAATTGTTATTATATCCTCTTCTAAACAAACAAGCAAATTATATATTTCCCTAATTGAAATATCCATAGAAGCTTTACGAGTTTTATTGCTTCGATATTCCACTACTAAAACGGAATTGTCATCAATGTTAAGATTTTTCTCTATCGGTATTAAATCTCCTACCGATTCTAACAATAACTCATATAAATCAAAAAATGTTTTCGCTTTATTGCTTTGATGCACTGCTGTTTGATTTGCCTTACTATTTGTACAGAGTTTTTTCTGAATAGCTATTATATCTTTCTTCTGATATAATAACACTTCATATAATGGATTAAGTATTTCACTTCGACCGGAATTATTATTAATGTTACTCATCATTGTTATAATAAAGTAATATATTTAATGTGAAAATTTTCAAGTTCAGAATATTATTATCAGCTCAGAAGATTTTTTGTTGATCCACAATGCATATACTCCGGTGCACAAAAAATCGTGATATTAATTCCGCAATGCATATACTCTGGTACACAAAAAATCAAGACACATTTGATATTAATTCTGCAATCAATAAATAATTAATCAATCCAACTTTTTTCCCGAAGGTTCTGGCATATTACACCTATTACGAATCTTTAAATTAGCATTACTTCATTACGCAAGTCAATCTGATGTCCCTGACGTTAGAACGAGACAAGAATAGAAATTACGCCAGCGATTTACAGATCTGTTTCTACGAAATGTGATGGGCACTATAGCATCATCCATTCTACATGATAAAATTCCATTATGGGTCATTGGTAGATTTGTATGGGGTACAAATAGAAGTTTAAAACAACGTCTTTCATTGCGCAGTTCTAAATTACTAATAAAAAATCACATGTGGATCGTATGTCGGGGCGTTATTAAAAAGAGAACGATTAGAATCTATGATTTACGGATGCATAAATAAACGGTGGATTTTTATTATCCTACTGAGTTAGTATTACGTGATAGACAAATCAGGTTAAATTCCCATTTCAACGCACAGTGGATCTACGCTTCCTGCCGAAGATATTTTGCTGATCGTGTTGTTAGAATGGAACGGAAATGGCTATATTACCAACCCTATAAAAAAAGTTAACCGAAAAAAAAGATGAAATTTACGCCAATGCTCCTGATTATTTATTCCAGGAATGGTTAATTTTTCACAAAAATGATCATGTGGATCGACCTGCGGGAATCTGAAATTTTTATAAATACCCTACCTTTTTGACCAACTTTTTGATCAGCATTATAGGGATCCTTCAAGAAGTTTTTTACTCTGAACTGCGCCACAGATGAAGAGAAACCCACCTTTTTATATACTCGAAGCAAGAAAAAATCTATTGTCCTTTACCTAGGAGGGTCTCCTTGGGATATCACTTTTCGGTCGACACAACTATAACTGAAATAAATAGTTATTGAATGAAGCGATGCAGTGTCTCATTAAATATATTCTATTTCTCTTTAGACATAAATGAATTGTTAATAGGAATGGGGGCTTTTGTCGAAGGCAAATACACATAATGTAGATACTGTACTCTATATGATAGCAGGGCTATTCTGCGATTAATGTTTTATTAGTGAAATTTTATTAATAAAAAACTTTCTCTTGCGTAAGACCTCACGGCCAAGCATTTGAAAAAAATATTATTCTTCATTGTTTGAATGTGATGCGGGGATATGGGGATACGGGAATATACTAACTTTTTTTGTCTCTAGGAATAAGCACCTTTTCAGAAATAAGGAGTGATCAGGTATAGATATGATATCATTTTCATATACAGCAGATAATCGCGCCCTCACGCAATTATTCAATGCCTTTATTTTGGAACGGATTCTTTTCCATTTATACTAGCGTATATAAAATTATATTTTTGCTGTGAATCGTAAAACATATAAAGGGGTATTTCTAGAGAAGTGTCTTGGCATTTTTTTTTTCTCCTACAAGTGAAAAAATAAAATAAGACTTTCCTATTCTCCTACAAGTGAAAAAATAAAATAACAATTTCACATAAAGTTAATAAAACAAAAATCTACCTAAAAAATGTTTTCAAACTCTGATATTTTCTTGATTGTAGTATTCAGCGTCGCAATTGCTATTTTCGAAATGCTAACCCGTGGTGTCCTAACAATGGATATGATCCAGGGCATTTTTTCGGGAAACATAACCATTTATATAATCTTTGTCGTTGCTATCATCTTTTTTCGTAAATATCTAAAGGGATCGGGAGATAATAATCTCGAAAAAACTATCTTAGCATTAAGTAATGAGCTTCAAAGAATGCGTACAGAAGCTGAATGGAGAAACGAAACAGCATCTCAAGGTAGGTTATAGTCTTAAACGTATTAAAATACACACGACATGCATATATACTTATCTGCGCCATATTTTTTCTAGCAGGATCTAATCGATTCTCTTCCACAAGTCACGTTTCCATGGGATATTATTCCGAATATACGGATGAATATGAAACTTATTGGGTCGAATTTACGGCTCTTTTTAATAATAGGAGGAAAAAAGAAGGTCGTTCTCCAACACAATTATACAATATTTTATCGATCGAAATTGGTCTTAGTGCTAGCACATTAGCTAATTTTTATCGACATCAAAAATCGCCAAGAAAAACTTCTATAGATAAAATTATCGAATGGGTTGAAAAGGAAGGAAATAAAAAAGTAGTTAGTTTTTCTGATAGTAGCAGTAGTAATAGTAGTAATAACAGCAATCCTCTATCATTTCCCCAATTTGCTACTAATCTGAAATTATTAATAAAGTTTTGTACACATTGTATGAATCAAAAATCTTTCATTTTTCATTGATTTTTTGTAAAGGTTGGGATTTCAGTCACAATATACTGGAAAACATCATGCAGAGTAATGCCTTAAGCACGCATGCAAAAGGAAATCCTACAGAATGCTTCCAAACATCTGACACAGGAAGTAATGGCCGTATGCCAGTAGGTATATACAACGCAAACCTGGACACTAGCATACAGGGTAATGCCTTGAACACGCATGCTCAAGGAAATTCTGCAGACTAGTACCAAACATCTAACGTAGGAAATAATGGCCATACGCCAGTAGAGAATGCGTGTGAAGGAGGTTCCGAATTATGGGGCTAGCAATGCCAGTTTAAAAAATTTCGCTCATTATGTGATCCTATTAAAAAAAATTTTGCTAAAAAAAAACACTTTTTGCAATTAGTTTAGGGTTAGGGTCCTACCAGTAAGTTAGTATTTGGTTTAAAGGGTTATAGTTATAGTAAAATTTCCCGAGGAAAACTTTTTGTTAGTACGCAGAAGGCACTTTCATATGCAAAATTTTAAGATATAAGCGTTTTTTTATTATTTTAATTTTTTTGCACTTCTTTTACGTTACACCTGATCTCGAAATATGATTGGCTATCGAAATTTTTTAGATTGGTATTTTGTTCCGAATAGTAACATGTTAGTCCGGAGCACCATATATCTGATATAGTCAATACGTGATATACGTGATTGGTTCATTTAGTTACACTTGTGCTCCGGACTTAACAATCAGCATCGCTAAGCCACTGCCAGTTAAATATATTACGCGTATTAGATAGCATGATGGAAATTGGTTTTGATTGGCTATCGATTTTGATCATCAGATCGAATATGATTGGCCAATAAATCGTAAATCCTTATAAAAATTTTTATTATAATATTAGGTAGCTGCGCGACGTAGTCACGCCAAAACCAGGAACGGATGTTTTTCTTGTGGCATAAAATTAGATATATCATGTGAATTTCATAATGTAAAATGTTTATAATGATATATTATACTATTGTTTTGAAGAGATTTAGTGATTATTAGGTTTAATTTAGTTCCAATAGTAGACAGGGTTAAGAATATATTATATATAACAATCAATTAATTTAAGAATAAGATAACGAATCGAGTTAAGGGTTGGTCATACTTATGTAATTTTCGAATATAATTGGACTGGTTATATAGTATTATTTGGTTTTGGTACTCAAAATACAGCATCAATGCGTGTTCTCTGAAAATTTGTAGTTAATAAAGATTGTAATGTGTAAAGAGTATAACACATACATAAAGATTAGATTTAGGTTCATTTATTACGTATACATATTATTTTGTTCAGATAGAACATATTAGTAAATTTATGAATAAAAATAGTTATAAATATAAGCCGTGAATATTTATGTACTTAGAGCAACATGATCTCCAAATTAAAGTTGTATATTTAAGTTTGTTCTAGACCTGGGTATTATCTTAAAAAAAAAAAAAATCGGTTTTAAAAGGATCTCACCATGAACAAGGTAGATTTTATCAAATAGTATCTCATAGGGATGTGATGAACATGCAAACGGTGACTAATATGATCACGCGGACCAATCGGTAATTGATTTTGCATATGCACATCATTTCTTTCTTATACACTATGCTCATCACTCCGTTCCTGATATAGCATTTTTAAAGTAACTGATGTACCAAAATTTTTTTTTGCACTAGTATGTTCTTCGTGCCCTAATGGGCTTTTTCAAACTCTCAGATCAAGTGAGATCAAGTATTTAAAGCTAACTAGCTTATATGTGAAAGTTGACAAAGGTATAAATGCTATAGTGGTTACTTTAACTTCTACAATATAAAAGAAGGTCAGTAAAACACATTTTTATTACCATTTATCTACTTCTTTTAATGCATTTTGTAATTTTAATACATCTTTTTCATCTCTTTCTTGAATAAACTCACACTCTTCTGTGTCTTCTTTTGTCTCTTCGGAATCTTAGGATTCTTTAATTCCATCCTCTTCAGTAATATTATTTGCTTCTTTTTCAAGTCTTTTCAAAAATGAATTAATGTTTTTGTATATTCTATTCTTATAGTACTGTTTACAATGTTGGCATCCATATTCCATCTTATCATAGCAGTACCAGTGAAAACTGTGATCATAAATCAAGACAGTACTATCACCTTTTTCGCTCAATGGCTTAAAACAGTTATTACAAAGTCCTTATGAAGGAGGAACATTTGTACTATAACCCATAGGTACAAACATAATATCAACTTCTTCATTTAAAGCAGCAAGCTTATATTTTAAAACTTCTTTTTTCTTTTTTCCTTGTTTTTTCCATGATCTATCTGTTATATTTTCAACTGTCTTAATATGGCAAAACACTTGGTAAAAGTAATCCAATAAAAATAAGGATGTTTTATTCATCAAATGTTTTAGATTAGAGGACATATATGAATATCTTTTTTTTATATAAAACATTTTTTTAAACGGCGATTCTTTATTTGTATCTTTTTTTTTTTTTTAAAAAAAAAAAAAAAGTATTAATTAAATTATTTAAATAAAGATTTTTGGAGGTTTTTTTATATTACCTAAAATGCAAGCCTGTTTAATAATAGGTCGACACTATCACCTGAAGATGTATTTGCCCATATTTTGCTATGGAAATTTTTAACAAAATAATCGTTGAAATTTACCAAAAACATTTTAAATACTTCTAACATTGGATGCTCTTTTTCTTGTCAATAAAAAATATCGAACAAGAATACCAAAGGTGTCTTATTATAGTTTTTATAGTTCCAACAAAGAGTGAAAGTCCATATTCGAAAAATCGTTTCAACATATTCATCGAAAGAGCCTGAACAAAAAAGAACTGCATATGCATACAAAGTTGCAGAAATTACATTATCAAGAAGATCAATCTGCATCCTATATTCCATGTCCTTACATGTTGCCTCAAATTTCACTAATATTTTTGGTTTTATAGTTATCCATCCTTGGTAAGCAAGTTTGAGAAGGAGATTTATTCTCTACGGTTTTGGTTTTCTTGCAAGAACTTTACGCTTTCCAAAAACCACATGAAAGAGCAACTTAAAAAAAGAGTAATATATTTTTAGAACTTGCTCTCAGCTGTTTAGTGAAATGTGAAATGGACCTAATATAGGTATGAAGACATTTATAGAAGCTGGTATTTTTGTATTTTGTTAATATATATTGGTTAATGCCTTCTATATAAAAAGTTGCCCAGGCCAGTCAGCAACGATAGGCATTACATAATTATTCGTACGTCCTGTATTTTTATTTACTAAGAGAATCATCTTCAAAACATTTAGATAATCGTCTAGAGAATGAAACTAACTCTCTTTAATCTCAACTAGTTGAACATCTTTCATAATTCTTTCTGCTTTTTTTTCTTTTATTGCATCATTATAACAATGGACAATTAAAAGATTAATTTGATCGAAATTAATAAGCCCAATTCCTTGTGAAGCAGTCTATTAACTTTTTCTTTATGAATAGAAAAGATCGAAAATTCCATGATACCGTGTAATTAAATGCAAACAAATTAAAAAAGGATCAATATTGGCAGGATTGTGAACTGAATGATTTTTATAAATTATTGGAATTGGTACATATTTAATAATTTCTTTACTGACACATGTTGAAAAATGAATAGGGGCAGAAAGAATTACGGTGTCAGGACATCTTATTCCATGTATGTTGTGGTAATCATCAATATTATATATGAAAAAACTATTTATCTAATATTAACAAATATTAAAATTTAGGAAATTATTTATTTATAGCTATAGATGTGAATGCAATTCCATAACATAATATAAGGATAATGAGTTATGGCATTTGCTATAACTTATAATTATTACATCATGTTACAGAATTGCGTTCATATCTCTATGATTACAGGATTAAACTAATTTGGTAAATTCGATTTTTTTTTTTATTGCTATTTTTTTGGTTATCTTTTATTTATTTTATAATACTTACTTTTTTTGCAAAATATTTTTGAATATTTTCGGAATGTGCAGCTACAATTTTTTTTAGTAGTTTTCAACAGTCTTATAACAAACTGTAATACCTGCATTATGCAATGCATTAATTGCATCACAAGAAGCACTAAATTCAACTAAATACTATCTGATTTCCAAAGGATAGTTATTTACAAGTTTATTACATATTGCTGCAATTGAGTAACATATATTGACTACTTTTTTCTTATCTTCCTTTCTATTAAAAGCAGATTGTCTTTTCAGAATAAATGCATTGTAAAGCTCATCAAAAAATCTTACTAATTGTGGTTCAGCATTCTCAAGTATTGTTTAAAAATGATCTGGAGTTAATTCTAGTGTGTTATGTTCAATTCTTTGTTTTTCATATAACACTCTAGTCATTAAAGAAATTTTTTCCCTAAATAATAATAGTTTTTTAATGATTATATGATCTTGCTTATTATTATCAGCTGATGATCCATTATTGCGATTAGGTTCAACAATCTCGAGGTAATGAGGATAGCACAATTGCTTTCCAACTTTTAAATAATTATACTGATTATAAGTGCCTTTTTTTTTGCTTTTCTTAGAGCATATTCTGTAATTCTGTGATATTGATTTGGTCTAATCTGGCAATTATTAACAAAACAAGAGCCGAGATTTTTTTTAGTCATGATTTGTAAAGTTTTTTTTAAAAAACAAAAAATTTAAAGATTAATTTTTTGTAAAAAGATCATGTTTATTTTATTAAAAAATTAAAGTTATGTACTACTTTAATAAACGCATTACTGCTAAAATATTTAACTAGATACATGAAGAGCTGATTAGTAATATTTAATTTATTAATAAATATAAGATTACATTTGCAGAATTTATATACAAAAATATTTTTCTATATTGAACTAGTTTTCAAAAATTGGATATGATAGTAAATTCAATTTTAAGGCTTTACAGCTTTATATGTAGATTAAATAAAATTTGTGTTTCAGTACATTTGAATGAATATAATTTGATCTAAAATTTGTAGTAATAGTAGGAAATCTATGAACAGTATGGTTAGGAATATCAAATTACATTAATTTTACGTAATTTTGAGTAATTTTAAGTAAGATTCGGTAAATTGAGAAATTGAAATTTTATGTAATTGTAATTATGAGCATACAGCATTTAGTTTCTGAAATCAAATTTTTGGTAATTTAATTTAGGTCATATATTTCAAATCAAAAGATGCAATAATACTGGATGTGTGATGAAAATATACTGGCCACGTGATAGAAATATACTGGTAGTGTAATGAATATATACTGGCCACATGATGAAAATTATACAAGATTTAATTTTTTGAAAATTATGTACCGTAAAATTGTAATTTAACACAACTTAACAGATTGATTTATATAAATAATATGTGTGCACTGTCCCTAGAGGCAGTTAGGGACAGTAGTTTTAGTAATACAATATAACCTCCCGATCTTGCCAAAATCGATAACCTGTAATAACTGATAATAAAGTGAAAACATCGAATAAAATAGTGTAAATGGTTTTTAAGTTTTTTTTTATTTTTTTCCTAAGCCAATTTTTTTTAATTTTTCTTTTTCTTTTTTTTTAACCTGCTTTTTTTGAATTTTTATTTTTTTTTTTTTTTTTTTTTTTAGACAGATGTGTTAGTTAATCATATGACAACGATTTGGCTTTTTTATTGGTCAATTTATCATATAACTTAATTTTGAGTTTGGTGTAATGTCTATATGTAGATCACAAATGTTGGCCAATCAAAACCAATTTCCATCATGCTGTATTAGATAAGATTGTGTGTTTCTTTCTGTACATATAAAAACTATGTTTGAATCACTATTGAATGATTACTTCGACCATAACCCACAGAAGGAATGGTCAGTTATTAATGTCTTGTGATATATAGAGCCAAAAACTGAATTATTATCTTTAGATATAATCAATATTTTTAAGAATAACATGTATTTGTTACTATGTAGTTTAAGTGACAAATGCTATATGCACGAGTTTGCCAAGAAAAAGGCAAGGAAAATTCTGACAAATTATAATAAGTCATTCTTTTTAGCTGATGTAAAATATTTTATTAATGAAATTGAACTAAAAAATGAAAACAAGGCATTTTACACATCAATAAATTGAAGAGTTACATCTGCAAATACATTAAGGGCACTGGAGGTACATCTTAAGGCAAACCTAGGAGAATAAAGCATTATAATAGTCTTATTAACAATCCTATTAGGAGCATCATACGGATAGAATAGCAATCGAAGATTTGCACAATGCAATAAACACATCAATCATCGAAGATCTTAGAGGAGAAATAATGGAAGAAGTTGAGATTTGTTGATATCATTATGTTAACAAAAATCGTATTTTGTCTCAATTATATATTTATCTTTTTCATCTCTTCTCTTCTCAAGAATGATTAAATTGTTTCTGAAGCTGTACAAGAGTTGAGTGATCTCAGTATGCAAAGTTATGATCAAGAAGATTAAGACCTGTTGTGAAATACAAATACCCTAGAGAAAAGGGAAAATGCAAGTAATATTGAAGAAGAATGAGTATTAAAAAGGCAATATAATCGAGACTGTTATACCACACCACCACTACGATGACTGAATAATCTTATTATTGAGTCATCTAAGTTTTTGGAATTTAATCAGCACTCTATCTTTTATAAAGAACTTCCAAGTTATGAAGAGGACATAGAGATTGACCCAGAATTAGTACTTAAAGAAACTAATAAAGCCATGATTTCTTATTTTGAATGCTTTTTCAATTATGATTTTTGGAATTGTTGGACATTAAAATCTGGTTCAGTAGTTACTGAATTGCTAGAGAAAGCATCAAATGTCAAAGGACATCCTCTAAAACCAGAGGTTTGGAGAATCATCTATTGTAGTTTCAAGATAGCAAAACTGAAATGGTTAAGTAATGAAAAGTACATCGAGATACTGAGCTTTGCTAAACGCTCAAGTATTACAAGCTCTCCAAAAGATATTATTGAATTTTTGAAAATAAAATCATTAAAATCTTTGGGATTTAAAGTAAAAAAGTTCAAAAGAGACAAATTAAATACTCATCTGGAAAAAATTACTAGCCAGAATTCCAGTGAAGATCTTAATTTGGAAGCTATTAAGATAACATGTTTAATATTATATCCTGAAGATACATTTACTGTTTTTTTCATAAAAGTTTTATCTTTATTCCATAAATATGTTTTTATAAAAGATTCTGTTATGCAATAGCCAGATGTTTTAGAGGCTGATTATGAAGGTTATTTGATACATCTTTGTTTAAAAAAAATACTTGTAGGCTTAGAAGATCATTTATATTATCACATGTAAGTAGATTTTATTTGGGGCAATACTGGATATTTGATAAATATTGTATATTAACATGGTTTTATTTAAGGGGGGAAGTCATTTTATCATCAGTTAAATCTTGCAGAAGTCGACGAAAATGTATTAGCTCTTATGAGCAAAAATCTGATGGCGTCTTTACCATAAAATTAAGAAAATCATTAATGGAAATAGGCCACTTAGAAATGAGTGGGGGATATGGGTATAAAGATATTTCTCGTTCTACTTAGGATAGATGCTGTAAGCTACCGATTGGTAACTCTTATATGTTGGAAGAAATTGGCAAGCAGTTTCAAGGTGGTTCTCCTAAAACTTTTTCGAAGTTAAGAGTTTTTTTATTACACACCTATGGAAAGTATTTTTAAAAATTTTTTTTCTTATTTTTTAATAATTTTTATTTAACTTTCTGCGTTTTATAGAAGATCATATTGAATTGTGGCAAATGTATAACCCATCCTACAGTGTTCTGCACTACAAATGATCATATAAGTCAATTGTACCTATTTGTTATAAAGAACATCATAAACATATTTTTGATTTTATTGTCCTCCTTTGGGATCTCAAGGTATAGTATATTGTATACAGCTTATAATTATTCTGTAATACTTCGTCATTACTTTATCAGTCTCTTGATACACAGTGTAGATTATTGGAAACTTCCAACATGATATTTCAGCTGAGAGATGAACATAATGATAATTTGTTTGAATTATCAAAACTCTCCAAAAGACTTCCAGCATATCCATTTACACCAAATAAAGATAGACACAAAATTGGTATTAAAGATGCAAATGAAGATAGTGATCTTGATAATTCTTCAATTTGATCTGACAAAAATGATAAAAAATAGGTTGAATCATGAATATTACTTGTACTATACAAATGATATCGTAATTTTATTAATTTCATGAAAAGATAAAATTTTATGCAATAATTATATATGATGTTAAAAAATACTTGTATTAAGCTTTTAGAGATCTTTTATACATATGTATAGTATGTGAGATGCATATTGTATTTAACAATGTATATTGATATAATTGACTACTCTTATCGCTAAGGTTTTAATAAGTCCTATCTCTTTAAAATGTTTCAAAATAACTACAGTATATGTAGATTTTTGTAATGCTATATACCAAAAACAATTTTCATTACAAAGTTCTCTCACTCTTAAGCTAATTACATATTAATCATTTCTCAAAGTCTTCCTTATTTTTGTTTTCTATCATAGAGACGTGAAAAAATAAATGTAGTAAAATTCATTTTCATAGTCACCATTAGATAAAAGATATTACTCTAAAAATAAACTATGATCGGGTAAAAAAATTATATATGAGCAAAAAAATATTATAACCCACTTACAAGAAAAAAAAATTCGCTTATTTTTATACTGTCCATTAACTAGATCTAAAAAACTTGCTAAAAAAAAAAGTTACATGATTAGTAATTGTGTTACCCAAATCCAACACTATTTTTTTCTCTATAAAACAATACCGCTCAGTCATAAGTTACAAACACTGAATCTATTTTGTTATTTTTGATGAAATTAAACCCCTATAATCAATGATCACTTAAGGTAGATTTAGATCTGATGATCTTAGGAGATGGCGAAGATTCGAAGTTCCTGCAACATATAAATTTTGACAAAACTACTGATTAAGAACAATATATATATTCCTCTTATAGTCTTTTTAAGTCCCTTTTTTTATCGCAGGATCTTATATAAGGTAAGAAAGATTCTAGTCGCTATTCATTATTAGTGTTACTTATTAACTTAATAAAAAATCGACCATGAGAAATTAAAGTAACACCATATAAAGTTTAATGCAGGCTATCGATTATTAAAGCTAGTCAAGTTTTTATTGCTATTTTAGCTTTGACCTAGGCTAAAATAAAAGTGGACCCATAGGACTGTTAAATTGCATTATACAATGCAAGATAATACATACTTATTTTTTCTAGCATGAATCAATATCACTAATGGCTATAAGGATTTTGATGATAAAAAAATGTGATGCTAGATGTTTGATCAACATGCTTGTTATAATAGTATAAATAAAGAAGTGTATAGATATATAGTGTGTAAAATTATTACCATACCCTGTATAACTAAAATATCTGCTAACAATCTAATTCCAAATATAGAAAATATGTGATTGTTGACTGATTTATCATGTTTAATAATTGTAGTATGTAAATATGGAATTATTTGTTTGAAAAATCATCATGCTAAAATATCAGTGATGCCAGGCATAATCCGTTTCAACTGATATATATCAGTAAAGATAGACTATAGTAAAGATAGAGGATATTCGATTTTAATTTTCAGATTGAGCTTTTTTATCACTTCTTTACTAATTCCTTTACAACCCTTCAAACTAAGATATTTCAAATTGGTACAGTTGCGGGCTATCTCCTCTACAGCTTTATTACCAATCAAACAACCACCAAGCTCAAGATGTTTAAGTTTTGGACATGAGTGAGCAATTTCGATAATACATTGATTAGTGAAATATATATATGAATTAAGACTCAGATGCTGTAGTTTCAGAGAAAATCTTGCAATTTCTATAATTGGTATATTAGTGAAACCCTTACTTTTATCAAGAATGAGAAAGTGTATATTCAGACATGAATGGAGAATTGTACTGATTAAAGCATCTGAGATTTTTAAAGCTTCTAATCTGAGATATACCATTTTTGAACAATAAATTGGCTTTATTTTTTTACGCATAACTTTTTCAAAGTTTATTAATCACCAACTAAGAACCCAAGACATGTTTAGGGCATGCCAGCTCTGCTGATAATCTTCATTGAAAAACTCAACACGATGCCATAGAATAGGAGCACTGCAGTGATACCAAAGGTGGTTGACAAATAATACAAAATAGAGGAATCGATGGAATTTTAAAAAATATAAGATCTGTTCTAGCAATTCTAGTAAATCAAAAATATTTAGTTGCCTTATTCTCAAGTTGTATATGTGATATATCTTTAATCGAAAAAATAACTAATATTTGGATAATTAATTTTTAGGAGTGAATACCATAAATATTATACACCACTTTAAATTTTTCAGATATTCTTAATTACATTTAAAAAATTATATAGGTGTTTGTGTTTGAATGATATACAATACTGCATATAATGGTTATTTCTTGCAATTAATTAGAATAAAATCGTCATAATACAACATAAATTTAATGTATGGCTAAAAGTTGTAATTATGAAGCTGTGTTATAATGATTGATATTTATGGCTTATGTATATATAATAAAGTCTTTTTTTATTTTGTTTATAATGCAAACCAGTTCCACAGTCCTAAATCATTGTTTTTATACGTGTTAATCTTGAAACTGACCTTACATCATTGTTGAGAGATTTACTAATATAACTATAACACATATATACATATGTATATATGTACCTGCGATGTTGAATTATTTACAACCAAATATGGTATATTTCATAGCTATATAACATCTATATAAAATCCTTTTATATAGAGATTTTTTTTTATTGATATTACATTACACTTTCCTACACAAGATAGTTTTTGTATTGATAAGACAGTTACTGAAGCTATTTGTGTGAATATGCTTAGTTAAGTAAAAAATTTCGTCTCTAATATTGAGCGATAGGGCCTCTGACTATGTGTGTTGTGAGATTGAACATGCTCATAATTACCATCTGGTAGCCTAGTACTTTGGCAAAAGTGATCATCTGTTCTGCAAAAATATGCTAGTTATCCTTTAATAATATAGTCTTTTTAGATGCAGTCATAACCTTTTGAGATAGGTTTAGGATCCGACTGTTTCCTCTCTAAAATTTATTTTTTTATTCTACTCTTATAAAAAAACTGTTTTGAGAGTGCGATCATCAACTATTATTGCCTTGTTAGTAAGGGGATGAAGACCGAACGAGCTTCCTGTGGTTAGTCCACTGAACTACAAGATAAGAAATAGTTTGAATGTATCTATCTCGCTTTTTTGTTATTATACTTCTTCCTTGTTATTTATACAAAAAAATTCATTCTATATATACATTTTTTTTATATACCACTTTGAGGGTGTGATTGTTAGATTATTATTGTCTGTATAGTGAGGAGAGGAAGACCTGATGAGCTTCCCGCAGTTTAGTCCACTAAGCTACGAGATGAGAAATAGTTTGAATGTATCTATCTTGAAATTCTTTTTCTTATATTCATTCAAAAAAAGAAAAACTATCAGAGTAAACGAGCAGGATAAATTATCTCCTATAGATCGACAGATAAGAGAAGTTCTAATCCAAAAATTTTTAAGTTATGCTAGATGAATCAGGTAAATAATACGTTTTTATTTTCTTGCATGAGATTATATTGCGTTGATAGATTGAGCATTCAGATTACTTGTTATAAGTATATATAGTTAAGCAAAAAATTTTGCTTGAGTCTTCACCTCTTGATGATAGGGCCTCTGACTATGTGTGTTGTGTATTCGAAAGGGCATAATCATCATTGCTAGTGGCCCAGTACTTTGACTTGAGTGGTTTGTTCAATCCACAAAAAAAATCAATTGGATGATTTAGCCAGATAGCGTAAAATATAATTTTAATCTTATTTTTTAATTTTTTATATAGGATACTACTCAACTATAACAACTTACATAAGTGGAACCTTTCTAGATAAAGGCAAATTTCTTTAGATAAGAAGCATATATATTAGGTTATTTATATGCAGATTTCTATAGTTGTCCACTGTTTTCCTAATGCTATTCTTGAGATCACAATTAAGATATATTTTTCATATTAATATTTTTTTTTATCTACTTCCAACACAGATAAAAAAGTGTCGATGTGAAATAAAAATGAATTGGATATTTATTATACTATACTTGTTACAAACTGTTATAAGACATTAAAATTGCTATAAATCAATAAAATTAGTAAAATTGCTAAATATGCCCGGTGACATAGTTAAAATAATAATAGATAATATCTATAATAAAAGAGTACCTAAACTTAGCAATCTCTGTCCTGGATATAATATGGAACATGTTTTTAAGTATTGACCTCAAACTGATAACTATTAGTATAAAAAAGTGGTTAAAATAGAAAAACAATATGATTATTTATCTATTATTAGGCCTCATAAAATGCCTTAGCAATAGGCTAATCATGTAATAGGTCCTCTACAAGAACTACTTTCTAAGCAAGAATATAGTGTTTATCATATATTCTGTCTCTTCACCTCATTTGGAGAAGGAAAAACCAAGGTGTATTACAGCCATATCAATAGTGAGTTAATAGATATTCTATATGAATATCGCAGGTCTAGAGTTCACAAGAGTGAAATGGCTATTTGTTTTGATTGCTAGAAATTAGTGAGGATCACTGAAGTAAAACCAAGAAAAGTATATTTTGATGGATATCGCAGATGGAGCTATGAAGTTGAGTCTCAAGATTTGATAAAGAATCATTGGAATTACTCTTGCTTCGAAGCTAAAACTAAAGAGGTCCCTTTGGAACTAAATAAATCATATTCATTGACTAGTTTCAAGATAACCACTCCTTCTATGCAATGTAGTATAAGTGCGCCCAGCTTAATTAATACTAATAAATCTGAGAAAGGAAATACAAACAAATTATTTATCTTGTCTCTGTTTGCAAAACAAATTAATTTAGTACCATCTCATCTTAATCTACCAAAAGATACTATATTAAGATTGAGAGATAGAACAGAAATTACAATTGTTTAACTGACTGATTCTGAGAAATAGTTTAATTATAGATTATTACTTCTGACTGAATAATATAATTTATTTTTTTAGAATATGATCGAAGTGATATAATAACTATTTTTTTCTGACATTAATTAATAATATATTTACTCACCACAATGTATATAGGCGTGTATGAAATAAGAAAATGCAATATAGATGCAAAAAAGAAGTGATAGTGAACTTAGGTAGCAAATTGTAAAAGAAAGGCATCTAAATATACAACTAAAAGTGAAGATAACTGTGTAATTATATTATATAATATTGGCAGAAGCCTTCATTTTTTAAGATATGTTTTCAGGAATAGTGAAAACATCTAGATGTGAATAAATGCATTCTTGATGGGTACATATAACAGAAAAAAGCTAGCATCTACAAAGTCAGATTCTATTCATTAGTAAGAGGTACATCTCAACCGACACGTATCCTGTGTAGATGCTTGCGAGGTACAGTTAAATCAAAAACAATGAATTTTTGCTTACATAAATACTTGTCAATAATTTTAATTACACTATGCCAGTTATTGGCATATTGACGCACAATTCTGACTAGTTCATCTGTAGTACATGACCCATTAAATAAGCAAATGTGTAAGAAATTTTTTTATATTATCTTCGGACAGTCAAAGTAACTTTGAGATATATATATCGAACTGATGTTGTAATGTTACCCTTTAACAAAATAAGGAATAATTTTCTTCTGCACTTTTTTCGAATTAGCACACACATCTTCAAATATACTCACTGTACCTCTATCCAGGAAAAATAAATCTATCTTAGAGATTTTATCAGGTTTCAAACCTCAGAATGTAATATTTTTACAATATGGCTTCGAACTATTTGTAATTATCTAATACACTGATTTAAGATACATATATTTCGGCTCTTTAAGATTATAGCCGATTAAAACCAAATCATCACACTTAATATAACATATCCCTTCTTTCTTACCATTAAACATTCGATAAAGCTTACCTCCAAGCATAAGATTAAGAACCTCATTAGTTTTCTCTGAATTAGTTTGACCTAAAATTAGAAGAGTAAAAGGCCATTGAAGCATATTAGAATAGTTATTATATTTTTGAATATCTTTAATCTTGTTAATATGATATACGAGCCTATCAACTGGCTCAAGCTTTTTTATTTTCATATCAAATTAAGAATTATTAATGATATACTAAAAATAATTTCTTTTAATCCTTTGCTTTATCCAAGAATCCTTTCTTGATTAGTATATGCTTAATGTAAGAAAAAAGATCACATGTATAAGGCACTTCGATAAGGCATATACTATGGTTCTTGCATATATTCCGCTTTTTCTGATTACACATCTTTTGTGATTTCAAATTTTCACTCTTCTGATGATACAAACTATTGTGATAATAGTGTTAGGGGCCCTGGAATTCGAATGCAAGACGTAATTCCTCATTATACCCATTGAGATGCATCTCATTTAAAAAATTCAGTCTATGTGATGGAAATTTCTTATCTAGTAGATTCTCAAAAATATATCGGCATTAACGTTCACTGCTTGAATGGTGGCATAAAGAACACCACTCAAATTTTTTTATGATATATTTTAGCAGATACTCCCACTGATGTGCATCATTTTCACAGGACTAAAGATAAACATTATGATCATTTATTCATACAGCTTTCTCAAGACATTGGCCATTACGCTTTTTGGCAAAATCTTCAGCTTGAGCTATTTTGTTATTAGAAGCATAAATGAAATGTACAGATAATATACTCTGGGGTGGGTACTCAACCTTTTCTGGATTAACTATTAATATAAGTTCTTCTCGCACAAACCTGTGAGAAGAGGCATATTTTCTATCAAGATAATATAGAACTGGTTCATTCTTTATTACAACAATTTTTCTAATTTTAAATAAAGTTGGACTTTATATCATGTCCGTGGCTCTTCTCTGATTTTCTATACTCTCTTCCCATTCTGCATTGGCAAGTAAGTAACAGACAGTATCACCTTTCTTTAATTTTGCTTCATCTTTTCCAACTGGGCATTTATATTTTGCAGATGGTCTAGATTCTACACATTCTAATGCAATGGCTTTCACAGGCTTGAGCCCCCACTTTTCTGATCCTGGTTCTTGAATAAGACGTGTGGGGTAGTTATTTAGATAGTCTATAACTTTTGGTAAAAATCTTACCCATGCTCTTATTAATTTAGGATCAGAAGTTATCAATTCAATAGCATATTGGGTCTTATACAGAATTTTTGAGAGTCTCTGATTGAAATGCTCCACAAATGCAAGACCTTGATGAGAGTATGGACCAATCACTCGAATTGTGATGCTATACTTTTGTAATAATCTGGAGGTCTTACCCATAAATTCACGACCCCCGTCATATTATAAAAGCTTTGGCCATGTCAATAGATTATTTTGATTACTATATACTTTCCTAAAAGCTTTAGCAACCTCAGAACTTTTCTTTGATCTAAGAGGAACTGAAGCCTTATATCAAGAAGCATAGTCTATAATGTTAAGTACTGCTTTATATTTTTTACCCTTATAGTGGTCATGAGTGAGAAACAGTATATCGCATTGATGAATGCAATTAGGATGTGTTATTTGTCTATAGCTAATTCTAGAAATGTATTTTGAAGAAGTTTTATTGGTTTGGTATGACTTCTGATTTTCTAAAAAATCTTTGCATTCACTTAGGCGAAATCGATACTCCTCTTTTTTACATGCATTTTTCAGGAATTTAGGATTAGAATAATACCTAGTCAGATGATAATATATATCTCACATTATAAGATTTGTTTCGATTTTCTAGGCCTTATTTGGATCGATATAAATAACTGGTTTTCTTATTTCTTTGTTTTATTATATTGATAAAAAACAATAGATGAGTTACAACAAACTAACCAAAAGCTTTATAAGGCAGTGACACAATTAACAGAATCAAATAGGAATTTTGAACAATGTTATATGCCTTAGAAAGAATTATCAGCATATGAGAAGAGAGAATACGATTCTTTGAAGAAGAGTTAAACAATACCATCAAAACTTCTACAAAAGAGAAAGAGGAGTTAAAAGAAGAAATCTCAAAACTAAAAAGAATCATTCATCAACTCGAGAAAGAAAATAAAAAGTAAGACAAAGAAATTTCTAATAAAGATAAATTAATATCAGAATTTAATAAACATGAAACAAAATTAAAAAATTGAATACGGGAGATATCAAAATCTGCGGGTAACACCTCCAAAGCACAAGATTATACAACAAGATTAGTGGATGAAAACGAACACCTTAAATGAGAAATAAATACAATAAGGACTAATCAAATAAATAGGATTAATAAAATAAATCAACAAAAAAATCATATCACAGACCTGCTTTGTCAAAATTTTGCATTAGCATTATTAAGATATCAAGATAGAATAGAACTTAGAAATACATAAGAGGCTTTATAAAATGCACAAGCATGAAATTTTGGCGAAAGTGAATCTAATTCTGATGAAAATTCTTAAACTTGTATAATTCTGATAATAATATGGATACAATAGCTGAATTGGCTGATGCTATAGACTGATCCCTAGATAATATAACAATATGTAGAACCATTTTAACAAATTAAATTAAAAGATCAACAAGGGCAATTCGATATAAATACACTAACTTGCAACAAGATCTGGTAAACGAATAATGGAACCAGTATATATACAGGCAAGAGCGAGATCAGGCATTGCTTGATCTTCATCAATTACAGACTAATGCACAAAACCAAGTGAATAGAATGATAGATAATATAATAAGAAAACAAACCTGTATTAGTGAATTGCTATGTGAAAATTTTGCCTTACAAATCTTATATTGACGAAATACCCACCACCTACAGTGATGCAAAGCTGATAGAGGTTTGTTAGAATATAATAGAGACAGACTCTATAAGCGATATGAAAAATAGAAAAATAAGACCCATGCAGAATGCCAGAATATTTTAAATTTAAATCAACAAATTTTTGTGCTACAGAATAATCCACCTAATATACAATAAATAGGAATGGTAGAATATAGACCTCCAATATTTCATGGTCATTCTGGAGAAAATCCAGAGGATTGGCTCAGAGAGATGCAAAGATATATAGTAGCTAGTCAAATAAATGTTGCACCTAGTGCAGATCAGGTTGCTAGAAGAGAAGAGGCATTTGAATTGGTAATATCATATCTTGTGGGCCCTGCATTGAATTGGTATAATACCCATATTAAGGACAAAAATTGAAGATGTAATAATCTCTCAGATAACTTAGGTGTAGCTACTTTAACTATTGTTTGAGCAATAAGTGCTGAAAATGGTGATAATCAGATTGGTGGTTTGAATACTGTAAGAGAATTTTATAACAAAGCTGGAGCAGAAATTGGTAGAATTGGAGCAGGTGTTGCAACTGGTGCTGATATTATTCCGAATGGAACATAGGATGAAGACTGGTCTATAGCTGATGGTGAACCTACAGATAATGCACCAGTCACACCAAATGCTGGCAGAGGTTTTTCTGCTATTACAATTGCTTCTGGTATTAAGCTTAAACAACTTCTTTATCTATTTAGTACTTTTTATATGATGGTTAAACACTTAAAACAAATGGCAGTTTTTGGTCAACTCATGCAAGAAGATATGGGTGTTGAAGAGTTCTTCACTCGAATCAAAAAGGTTGGTAAATTGGCCAGAATGATACCCGAACAACAAAAAGAGCAATTAATTCATGGCTTAAATCCTATGAACCAATATAATATTCAAATGATGGTTAAATTTAAGGATACTCTGGAAAATATCACAAGAGCCTTAGCTGAAGCAGAAAAATTTACACTTTCTCAAAGAAATGCACCATCTTCTCTTTCTGCTTTTTCAGCAGCCAATCCCTACATAGATACTAACAATTCAGGAATAACTAAAACTGAAATCGTGGATTTGATAAAAACTGCAATGACATTCTCAGAGTCTCAAACAGCTCAACAAAATGCTGATTTGCAGTCTACCATTAAATCCTTTCAAGAGACTATGTCTTGAGTGACTAAAACTCTAGATAATAGTAAAAAATCATCTAAGAAGAGAGCAGAAGATACTGCCATTAATCGCTTTTTGAGTGACTTACTAAGAAAAAATCCAGGTAAACACTTTGCTGATGAATATGATTATAATCCTATAGAAGATATTTCAGATAGTTTAGCAGGATTAACATTAAATAGTGTCATAAAAACTGCTGTTAGATGTGCTGTTAAGAAATCATCAGGTCACAAATGCTCTATCTGCAGAAGACTTGAACATAATTCTCGAAACTGCTCTCAAAAGAAGAAAAAGAGAAGTAAGAAGTCTAAAAAGAGTAAGGTTAATATTGCTACCGTAGATTCGAATTCAGATTCAGGTACTTCTTCTAATACTTCTTCTAGTGATAGTTCTGACTCTGATACAAGTTCAGAGGATTTCTCCGATTCTGGAGGTAATATCACCATTAATATAGCTAAGTCAAAAAAAAAGTGAAGCAAGACTCTAGTTTCAAAAAATCATCTTTTAAAAAGACATCTAAAACTTCATTGGAGGAAACTATTCGTAAAGTCCTCCAAAGTGAACTTAAATTAATTTTTTCTGATCATTTCTCCCAAGATCCTATTAAAGCTAATATACTGAATCAAGTGCCTCTAATCCAGGAAAAGATAGAATCTCCAAGCAATACTTCTCTAATTACCGAGATTGTATCGTTAGATCTAGATGAGAAAAAAGATTTGGATGGTCCGATAGAGATTGATTTTGTTAAGAAGAAGAAGCCAAAAACAAGTGTCACAACTGTAAAGTATAAAATTAAGCACTTAAAGATTCCAGCCATGACAGTAAACTCTGAGGCTAAACCTCTCATTATAACAAAAAATATTGTTATACATATAGAAGCTAAAATTGATAAATCTGAAACACATGATCTTAGTAGTATTGCCACTGTTCCAGTTGAATCTGTTGGAGTTGTTCGCAAATTACCCATTATTCTAGACCTAGGCTGTACTATCTATAAAGATTTTATTGTTGTAAAATATCAAAAGCTGACGTTAATATTTTCTAATTAGCTTTTGAAAAAATACAATTGTGCATTGGATTGAAAAACCAATGCTAAAAATTCCTCTTAATGGAAAAGATTATATTATCCTAGTTACTATGCATAAGGTCAAGAACAAGCTTGAGGTAAATTGTGCAAACATAACTCTAAATTGTAACAATTTCTCGACTTTGGATAACATATCACAGGACTTACAGGAGTTAAATAGGTATGATGATGTATTAAAAAAAAATGCATGAGCTATGAGGAGCTTGAAAAAATATTATATGATACTCTTATTTCCAAAGCTAAATTAATTGAGATTAATAAAAACCTCTGATCCCTTTTTTCTTGTTAACTAGATATTCTAGCTTAGTGAAGTGAGTTAAGAGCAAAGAGCTTTTCTGATTTACATATGAACTCCTCTGATTCTATATGATCTTTTTTAATCAAAGTAATTAGTTCATATGAGACATCTAGTAAGGAGTTTTGGAAAAAACCTCTGGCTAAAATTTTAGGTAAGTTAGAATTTAGAATGGATTCAGACTTTAACAGTTTGTTTTTCTTTTTTTGCTTTTCTTTCATATTTATATCAGCAGGTGATAGTCCCAGAGGGTCTTTCACAACCTCAGATACTTCTTTTGGAGTTGACTTATTAGATACTTCGCAAGGTTGTTTAGTATGAACTTCTGAACCATTCTCTGAAGAGATAGATTGTGCTTTCCTAAGCTCCTCAAAAAAGTGGTTTCCATTTTGCTGTGAATGCTCAGAATCATTTCATATATGATGAACATGATCTTTATTAATATGGTACTTATTTACTATCATATACACTGGGACCTTATTTTTGAGATGTCTAATTTCTTCAATTTGTCCAGGTGTTAAAATGGTGGTACTCCGCTGATAATAGGTTTTTAAAATTGAGGTAAACATAATCTTCTGATATTTTTAGACAATGTATTTAGATGCATAAAAAATATTAGACTTTAATATTTATTATTTTAGATGGATAAAAAAAATTAGAATTCAATATTTATTATTTTAGAATGAGAGGGAACGTTAGAAAGCATAATTTATTGTTTTAGATGGGTAGAATACATTCTAATATGCTATCTAAAATAATAATAAAATGATTGATAACCTTTGTGTTTATTTTTTATTTATTGTGATTATTCTCTAACATAAAATTTGAAAGTTTTTTTTTTACATGTTTATGGCTAATATAAATAAATAGGAACATATGATCTTGAAAAAGAGATACATTGCATCTTACAAGACTTATCCAAGATATGAGATTATAATGCTAAGTTGTGAAATGAATGCATGAAGATCAATGATGAGGCCAGACAGTTAAAGGTTGAAAATTCTAAACTTTTTTCCCAATATGCTTGCACAGAGACATCTCTCGCCAAATATAAAGCTGAATATTATGCAAAATCAGAGAAAGTAAAATTATTTCAATCTGTGATTAATTCATTTCTCCCAAGATACTTTGATAAGAATAATCAGCCGGATGGTCCTGAGAGAACCGATTCATATGCAAAAAGTGGTGACGAAAAAAATAATAAGCTAGAGAGCTCTAGTGCTTCTTCAGAACAAATCATACCTGTTACTATTTGCAAAGAAAAGATTTTATTAGGTGGCTTGGGGAACTCTATTGATATAGACAAATTATTATCATCGGTGTTCACCTGCTCGATATTGCTTTTTCTATTAATCATAATTATATGGTTAGTCATTGTGAAAAAGCTATAGAATTTTGAGAGCATCATGCCAAAAGAAAAAGTCAGATATCCCATCTACAAAAAATATATAAATAGAAAAGAGGTACCAAAGGTACCAGATAGGCCAGGAATAACATCTAAATATCTACCATATAAGTACTGGCACTAGTGGGACTTCTTCGAATCTTTTTTCAATATAAGCTAATACCTTTTCTGATAAATCTTTGGGCAGATTAATTAAGACTTTTTCAGCTTGAAATACTGTACATGCTACTAACCAGCCAATATGGATCCAGTTACCGCCTTTACCATTATGCCCATAGTGTAGCAAAAATCAATACTCATCTATTGCAATATCTGTCATTTTCTCCTGATCTGCTATTATTTTACGAAATTCTTGTATATTCTTCTCTGCAATTGGAAGATGGATTTCACTAGGTTTGAAGCCTATGTACTGAGAAAGTTGGCTGCACAATTCAGCTATTATACTATGAAAGCATATATTTAAAAATATTAATATCTTTTTTCTTATAAATTCGAAAAAAGAAATACATATTAGAGGCCAGAAGTTTGAAGATAGAAATTAAAGTTAGCTGGTATTATTGCATGAAAAAAATATAAATAATATTATACAAAGCATCTTATGACTAAGTTTTCTTAGCTAAAATTACCAGACCTTACTAAGAGTACTTAACCATATAATTTAATGATCTCATCTATATCCGCTTCAGATGAATTATCTTTTTTATTACCCTGTAACTTCGATGATGCTCAATAGCATGTGATTTCTAAGCCAACCACTTTGTACCATGTGCAAAAAATTAGCTAATATTTCATATTCATTTTCTTGAATATATAACATATATTTTTCTAAGGTCATAGCTTTAGATTTGTGCTTACTGGCCTTAGTAACAAATTTATACATTTTTTCTCTGCTCCCTATATCGTCTTGGGAAATTTCTGCAAGTAATGGCATTAGCTTTATGTGAATTGATTCCTCCTGCTTATCTAATGTGCTGAGAAAAAAAGACCAATAAGCATCATTTCCTAAGCATTTTACTATTTTATCAACATAAGTGGTATCATATAAATTTTTTATATAAGTATATGCTTCAATCTATAGATAGGATATGATAGTCTCATTATTTTTCAAACCTTCATGAAGATTTTTGATATATCCTTTAACCCACTTTTCAGCTGATTTTTGTGCTAAGGTATCTCTCTTTTTTGATATCTCATCTTCATTTGCTTCATCTCCACCCACTCTATCTTTATTTACACCATTTCTATTTGCTTCGTTTCCATCCACTCCATTCTTATCAGCTCCATTATCCCCTTTTAACCTTTTTAAGGCTTTCAGCAAAGTTTCAGATGACTATCATCATAATTTATAAAATGTGCATAGAGCCTGACAACACTTTTCAGATAATAGTTAATATCAATCTTTTTACCTAGTCGCCTTACTACCTCTAAATACTCCATTTTATCTCTCACCTTCTGTGATGAATTATTTTCAACTACAATATACTCAAAGCGCTCACCTGGCTCTGGAATTTGGTAAAGATAAGGTTCTGGCATCAAGCCCCTTTTTATAAGTCATTGGGCTTCAGCTTTTTCACGAATATGCCTATCTTGCATTCGTGAAATAAAGCATTGAACAGATTTATTATTTTTATCAGGCTTTCACGCACTAGTTTGAACCAATTCATTAAGGTCTATCTGAGAAATATCATTTGTGGTTTTCTTAAGTACTTCCTCTACAATCTGATGCAAGATATATGTATTGTTTATCTTCATAAATTTATCTATAATATGCTTTCCTATTTTGCGAAAAAGGGAAGAATGCCCTTGTTTTACAGTTTCTATCCTCTGAATAAAAAGCTTTTTATTAAAGTTTGGCTTGCTTTCATGTGGAATACTGAGTATTTTTTCTTTTTAGTAAATACTACTGGGAATAAGACTTCCTTATATGCCATTTTAAGATAAGAAGATCTATTATCTTTTTTAAGAAAACCATTAACTTCATTGCGAAGTTTCTCTATTACCTCCATAGAGACTTTTATTATTCGAGACCAATATTCTTCTTTTGAGATTCCATTGCCATAGTCATATGTCTCATCACATTCCTGAAAGCATCCTTTTGGGCAGACTAGATATAAAGAATCTGTATCTCTATATTTTATCTGGAAATCCTTATTTTTAACAAAATCTGCAACAAGTTTGATGTTTCTCTGTTCAGCTGATATGACACCTCTAGCAAGTTCACACAAGAAGAGAGGTGATGTGCTATCTCCAGTAGTACCATAAAACATATTCATATATACTTTAAAAACATTTTGTTTCACATCTAAGCAAGAATAGAGAAAAGATACTGAATTATATTCTGCTATAAATTCATGCTTTCTTTTATTGATAAAAAGGTGTAAATTTTTGTTAAAGCTAGCACATTTTTTCTCCTTCGCTTTTGCTAAAACCTGCTCGATAGCTTCTGGTAGTGACAAATCTTTATCCATTAAACCTATTACCAGTTTTATGTCTTTCTTTTTTTCTTTCAAAGAGGCAAGATGCTTTTTCATCTTAACTCATTTAATATATAAACATTCTAATACATTGGCATAGAGACTTTTCTCTTCGGAAATGTTATTATGCTGAATAGATCATGCAAGAATATCCTGATCATTAAATTTAAACCTAATTCTGTGAAGCTTTTTGCCACTTTGTTTAGCATGCTCTCGAGATAAAATTATTTTATCAGATAAGAGGTTGTACATCATAATAAGGCTTGGATATAATGATGCAAAGTCCAAACCGGTTACAGGGTGTCTATTTTCAAGATTCTTTATTGATAAAAAGACATAAGCTCCAAGATATTTTTCAGTTTCAATCCCCTCTTTTGAAATTGTACTGGGTAGGATTCCTTTTTGTTATGCACTAGCACATATAAGATTATACATCTTTATTCCTACTGCAAAATAATATGCATCAAACAATGATAGAAAGGCTATACTTAAAAGCTCTCTAGATTCATTAATTACATTGTGCTTAATCATTAACCATTGACAGCTAAGAGTGTCAATAATGCAATAATTAGCCACTTTATGCATCTGCTCAGCCGTTGTGACATTTGTTTCTTTTAATGCCTTCTCATAATATTTGTTCATACGATGAATAGGTAAATCTATTTTGTTGTCAAGACTACACTCCTCTAAGTAATATGCAAGACTACTTTTTTCAGCTTTTGGATAGAATCCCTTAAAACAAGGGCAAACATCAATAGCCACATAGCCAGAAATTTTAAGATGTTTCAAATAGAAATTCCTATAATTTATTTTTATTACATTATATCAATATTTCTATTTTATAATTTTTTCAAGGCTTGATGGCTTGAATGATATATGATTGAACATCTATTCGAGAACTTCTAATTTATTAGCCTTCTCTGCAATAAATTTCCAGTCATATTGTGAATCATTAAAACCTATTTGTATATCTGGGGCTAAGAGTTTCCAATACAATGTGAATGTTTTTAGTAAATTGGTCTGGGATCCATATATGATTGTAATCTATTGCGAGTCTGGTGCTGTTTTAACATCAACAAGACAAATTTGTTTTAATAATTTGGGATCATCTTTCCAGTGAACTGTTATACAAATCATGAATACAACATCTTCTTCATATTTTGCATTAGGCACCTTACCTATTTTTCATGAGCTATATGTTTCAATATCCCACATGAGAACAAAGATGCGATCCCGTGAAAGCACTGAGGAAAATAATGGATTATTATAATTGCCTTTATTTATTGGATTGTAATTATTTACAGATACTTGGAAGAGATAAGTACCCTCCTGAATGTGTTCGTATAAATAATCACTTAATACTGCCCAACTCAAAAGAGGTAATTTTTCTTTACGGGCTACTTTGCGGTAATAATACTGGCAATTTAGATCATCCTAAGCTGTACACATACCAACAACACAGACTGCTTTTAATGCATTATACTAGTCATAGTGATTCCATGTTCTCACATGAATATATAGTTTCTTTTCTGTATGATACTCTTGAAGTAGGAAAGCACTAATAGTCTCAATCCCAAACCTCGATATGCTATTAAGAATATTAGATAATATCTTTACTAATTTGGTTTTAAACATAGATAATAGCATCTCTTTAGGTACTTTGACATCAAAGAAGGGTTTGATGTCTGTAATATTCATGACTGCCTTTTGCCTATTAATCAAAAAACCAGTGATATGCAAAATATAAGTAGAGATTCCATTTACATATTTAGTATCATCACTAACTTCAGTAGGCATAAAATGTATATGCTGTTTGCTAGATAGGCTTTGTTGGATCAAAGGGTAGTTCTATTATCGAATTCTGTCACAATATCATTATATAATGAAACACTGGTTATGGTTTCGGCGCTGTCATAGCAGGCAAGGAGGTTGGTTCCAGTATGAACAGTTTGGTCAAAAATAGCTATGGTATGCATGATGTTAGTTTGAAAATTTATACTATCTCTATAAAATCTAGAAATGTTTAAAATATTTTTTTTGATAGATGTAAAAAAGGCATGATGGTGAACTTGATAATCAAATCATAGAATGAAAACACCTGAATATGCATCTAAAAGTGTAGGCTTCTGGGTAATTTATTATATAAATAATAGGTGATAGTTAGATTGTATAGTGTATGAAACCTTCTGCTGATATTTCTAGAGAAATATATATATATATATATTTATCAGCAGATGGCTTTATCTTAAAAGTATGTACCTGGTCAGAACTTTGGGCAAAAGAACTTGGTATTCAAGCCAGCATATAAGTAATCTGAAACTGGAGAACTAATAGAACCTTTTTGGTTCTCTACTAGTTTTCTGCTAGTGCTATAATATTTTTAGATACTATCGCTCTACTACTATAGTGCCAAGTTGGGATTCTTAAATCATGTGTTCTAAAGATCAGCCAGAATTATAGCATAATCTTAGCCAAAATTAACCACAAATTTATTGCACTACTTGACATGATATTTTTTTTTACCACAATTTAGTATTTAATAGGCAACCAAACAGGTGCAAAAAGGTAAACACCTTGATATAGAATTTGGTACCCAAACAGGTGCAGAGGGCCAGCACCCTCAATAAAAACCAGGCATCCAAACAGGTATAGAAGGCCAGTACAAACAATATTGAATTTGGTGTGTAAATAGATTAGGAACAAAAAGGAAATAGCAGTATTTAGATCATATAGTGGTAGTTAGATTGTATGATGATAAAATATAAATATCAGAAAGAATTTAAAGAGATAGCTAGAACATAAAATAGATATCCAATATAGGAAATATATAGATTATATAGTAGCAATTAGATTACATGTTTAGATTATGTAGTGTTTATTAGATTATATTATTTAGATCATATAATGGTGCTCAAATTATATACTGTTATTCAGACTATATAGAGATATCTAGATTATATAAAGATATTCAGATTATATAATGGTATTTAGATTATATAATCTAACCTAAGTGGGATACCACCTATAATATAATTATATTATAGGTGGTATCCCACTTATAACATTAATATGTTTTTAATATACAAATCTTAAAGATACACTTTATTTTATTTTCTGTGCAGGCAATAATATTAATATAAACTAAGCAATCCTTAATACAATTTAATTAATACTCATTTTATTTCAATTATTTAATAGTTTTTTTTTTTTTAATATTAAGTATATGCAACTCAGAATTTTATTAATAGTATATATTAACTAGCATCTGTTAATATAACAAATACAAAGGCAATTATAGAAAGAGTATACAACTAGTTATTCATATAACTTTAGTTATTACCTAATTTAAGTAGTCTGTCTGAAGGTTCTATACTAGTTGTTATATCTAAGAGCTATCTGTAGGTCCTCTATTTAAACACTCTGATCTTATATTCATTATATCTTACTAATGATTCTGGTAAACTGGTAAAAATATGCCATGGTCACTAAGTTATACTTAACTTTATACTAAAGCTACTAGAACATTTTATATTTTATACTTATAGCTCATCTGATATTATTTTGGCCTAAACCATTACTTGCAGTTAGGGCTAATCATTAAACTGCTATACTTTTGTAAGGTTTATCCAAAACCCAATACTTATCTTTTTGATGTCTTTTTTATCATCTTCTACTAACTACTACTTAGGACAGACAGAACTCTCCAAACTTCCAATTCAAATAACCTGATGTAATATACTTTAGTATTCTTTTCTTTTAGCAATTCTGGTAATCTGGTTGGTTATATGCTTCTCTACACATTTTGTTATCTGGTTTATTTGCCTATTTCTTTAAAAATGTTTTATGAGTTTTTATTAGTTCAACAGCATTGTTAAAAGTTTTGTACTACCTTTTTACTTGAAATTTTCAAGTAGATTTCTGACTCTTTATTTCTTTACTTTTCATATCTGGTAGTTTTATTATAAGTTTGCATCAAAGTTTTATGTAACACTAGTTATTAATATTTTTCTATGTAGGTGTAATATTACATTTTGCATAAATGCTCTAAGCTTCTATTTAAAATAGTGCAATTGAAGATTACAGATATACTAATTCAACTAATTGACAGAGACAGTTATTATAATACAGATATATTTTCCAAAATTCATTATTTATAAGATTTGAACTCTAGATCTGCCACTTGGCAGTTGACAACCTAATCACTTCACTAGGTTATTATACCTCCAAATATTTAATAGTTTAGTACTTCTATTTTTAATATTATTATAAACTTCACAACCAATTTTATTAATCCTAATTACTAATCAATCTTATATATTATATCTGACATTTTCTTTAAAACAATCTACAATAATATTAAAATCCTTTTAAACAAACAAACAAACAAATATTTTAAAGGTGTGGTGACCTAGTAAAGTGGTCAGGTTGTCAACCCTTCAAGTGGTAGGTTGGATGTTCAAATCCCATTGATGGCGAAAATTTAGATAATCACCTATATAATATTTGTATTATAGTAACTGTTACTAACGATTAGGTTAGAATACCTGTAATGGTGATCACACCAGCATGACTGGTAGGTCATAGAGCATTCATGTAACGGGTCACATGACATTGTCCTTTGGGACAAGGTTGTGGTTACACAAAGAGATGCAAACCAGCAATAGATGATGCAAACACTAGATAAGTCTTTGTAGTTGTGTAAATCCGTCGAAATTAGGTAACAAGAAGTCTATTTGGGAAGACCTGAGTAGAGAGGTAGCCAGATCTTCGATGGTCCTATTGTAAAGGCTAGCCTTATGAAATGGATACCAAGGTCAAAGTAGCCGGACAGGCAAAAACCTTTAGGTGGAGGGTACCACTAACCAGGCTGCCAGATTGAGCCAGAGGAAAAGGATATCGGGCCAACTGGATATACCAATGGACTAGTTGTAAGTCTTACCAGGCTATTTGGATTGGGAGTTTGGTAAACCAGCAGAGGTATACTAAAGTATTTCGGATATGCTGTGAAGTAAATGCTGGTGTTTGTATGAACTCTACAAGGGCATAGCAGTTTAATAGTCAGCCCTGACCACAAGTGTTGGTTCTGCCATAGTGATACCTAGGTCAGTTGTAAAAATAGATACAGAAGGCTCTGGAGGGTTTACCTTGAGGATAAATTAGTCTTAAAGTTAAGGATATTGATCTGGTACATCTGAGATGACCAGTGATGTTAACACAGGTTACAGGTTTAGAGGGTTTAAAGTAGAACATCTAAGTAGAGGTGTTAGGTACGGCAATTGGTAAGGAACCTTCAGGTGGACTCCTTAAATAGGTAATATAGAAAAGTTATATGTGTAGCCAATTGTACGCTCTCCTGTAGTGGTTCATTGAACCACAATACTGATAAGTAATTAATAAAAGTCAAAAAACCAAAGAGGTCACCTTAATACCAAAAAAAAAAAAAAACAAATATTTTTTTGATCAATCTTGTCAACAATCTTTTTATTTGATACTATCAAGATTTATAATCTATATACAACATATTTTAACATTAATGAGAACTCACTCAAAATATAAGCATTAAAACTAAATACACAAAAATTCATTTCTTAACAATATTTATTTCTACTAACAATTTTTCAAGAGTTATACAACCTTTTAATACTATACATTCTATTAACAAATGGCTTTTACAAGACTTTACCCTAACCATATGCTTTATATAATATCCTGACTCTCACTTAAGGTTTTTTTAACCTATCTTAGCTAGAAAATAATTTGAAACAATTATCTATAGTACTCATTAAGAAATAGGAGATATAATATTATATTGAGTATCTAATTTAGTAATACAAATATAGTTTAGAAATCTTTAGCTTAGAAAATTTTTTCTATAATTAAATTTCTTATTATATCTTAAAGTTTATACTATAATATTATATAAATAAATAAATAAATAAATTATTTTATTACTACAAACTCTTATATATATTTAACTAATATATTATCTAAATAATATTTTTTTTTTTTATTCTAGTACTTAGGCTATTGCATATTTTAAAGTCTGTTATCTACTAGTAAGACTTAAATTTCTTTTTGCTAATTAACTTATTCAGTTTGCAAACTATTAACAAAACTATGTTTTTACAAAATTTATTTAAACTTTATAATATATTTTTAATATTTTAGTATACTCTTGTTTTGATCTCAGATTTTTAATTCAAATAATTTAAAAAAATTATAACCTGTCTTTAATATAACAGCCTAGTTAATAATATCTTTTATCTAAAGAGTTTTGTTTATCTAATTTTTTTATATTGGTATTTATTTTCTAGATTTAATATTTATAATAAGATTAATAAAAAATCTTTCTAAGTATACTTTAATATTCTTAGTTCTACATATTTATACAGATACAAAAATGTATTTTGAGTCTGCACTATCTAGTACTAGTTTGCATCTTTTTGTATAATTAAAGTTATACAACTATGATCTATTAATAATATTGATATAACTATAGTTACAAGTATCTTATTCCAACTGATCAATTGAATGTTATTACTATAATATGAATGTATTTTTTTAAATTTTTGTCCTTAGTAAAGTTTGAACTTATAATTTGTTACTTGAAGAAATAATAACTTATTTACTTTGCTAAGTTACTATATCTAAAATAAGGTTTAAATATTTGAATTAGAATAAAAGAAAAGTTATATTCAGAATTTCACAAAAAATTTTTTTTATTAAAATTTCCAAATAGTTTTGTTAATAAAATTTTATTTTATATTATATACTATAATAATTTTTAATAATAATTTTCAGTTTATTAACAGAACATTGATATGAAAAAATACAAATAGAAGCAGCAAAAGTAACTTTATCTAAATGTAAAGGTTACAAGTTAAACCAAAGCCAAATAAGCTCAAACTGTGAAAGATGAATTGATAAAGTTAAAGTACAAAAAGAAATTTTAGACTATGTTAAAAAATGTAAACTACAAACCCTAAAGTTAGACTAAGAAATGATAAACTTCTTACAAAAGACAAGAGAAAAAAGAATATAACAAAATGAAAATGAAGCTACTAAAGTTACATATTATGATTTGAATATCAAAATCATCAAAAAACAATATATTAGTTAGTTAATAAAAGAAAAACTTATAAAACTCAACCAAAAAAACAAAGAAAGACCTAATAAAACATTGATCTTTTATATATATAGTTTACTAAGAAGAGCATTAGGAAAAGAAGCTTTAACAATAGACTAAATAGGATCAGGCTAGGTGCAACTAAATGGAAAAAAAGAAAAAATACTAAGCAAAGACTGTTTTGGTATATAAAATTGGTCATCATTAACAAAATCAGAACTCTTAGCTATTTGGTTTGTTGTATTTATAACATTAGAATAGAAAAAATTAAAGATTTGTACAGATAGTGCAACAGCAATTGCAGATCTGAAAAATAAAAAAGAAAACTAATTTATAAGATGACAATTAAAAAGAAATAATTATAATTGATTAGAGAATATTAAAAATATTATAGAATTAAAAAATTTAGAAATAGATTTAGTTAAAGTTAAAGTTATAGTAATAATAAATGAAACAATAGAGCAGATATATGGACAAAAGAAGAGATCAAAATAGATAGTTTGAATAGAATAGTAGAAAAAACTCCTTAAGAGACTAGTATTTCAATTTATTGGAAAAAAAAAATTATAGAAGATCCAATAAGAAAGTTTATTAAAGAAATTTTAGATCTTCAAACAAGAGCTGAATAAGGTTTTTTATTAGTGATTAAAAAGATAGAACCAGATAATAAGAAGAAAGTATATAATTAAACATACTTATAAAAAAAGATTAAAGACCAAAGCAGAAACAGATATACAAATCAAAAAAAGAATATACAAATAAAAACTCTAATTAAATATCTTAATAATAGTTTACTATTACTAAAACCTTTAATATAACAAAGACTAGATCTTTATAAAAGTCCTTTTTGCATACTTTGTAATGAAGAAAAGGAAGAAAACCTAAAACATTTAATATCATACAAGTATTATAAGAATAGCTAGAAAAAAATAGAAGTTCTATCAATTAATCTTGTATGGACTAAAATCTTAAATGAAACACAAATAAAATACAAGTTATCTTAAGCAAAAAACGATTTAAAGGAATTTTTTGATGAGTAAACAAGTAAAAAAAAGAAGAAACAAGAATAGAAATAATCAAATGTTTAGTTCAAGACAATTAAACAAATACAAACTATACTAAAACCATTCAAGAAAATAAAAGATTTTTTAGATATGTATAATAACCAACATAACATGGAATGAGTTCTACAAAAATATATGGAAAAAAAGGTGCAAAGCTATTATTGAATGGAAAAAACTAATGAACATCAACTAAACATTTAAGCAAAAAAAATCAGAAAAAAATGTGAAATTATCTAGTAAAAAAATGCATAGTCAAATAGAAAATCTAATTAGAGTAGAAAGAAACCAAACTCTAGAGAGATTAAGGAATTAAAAAAAATGGAAAATACTAAGATAAAGAAAATATAATTTGGTTCAATTAAAAATTACATAGAAAGTAAAGTAAGACTATTTTTATATGATCTTTTAGGCTAGTCTGATACAACCTTTAGATCTAGGTTATTACCTCAACTGATGTGACAAACTGCCTCTGGGCACTCATTGAAGCAGCCAGAGGATGTCGAACCAGTAAATTAGGTCAAAGTATGTACAAATTTGTAAATACAAATCTTAATAAAGGTCAACGGCAAGGCTGCCAAAGAGGAAAAAAAATAATAATAATAATCTTCAGTAATAATAAATAGTAAATCTTTTTTTTATATAAATTTTTATTAGTAAAATCTTCAATTTTTATAAAATTTTTAAAAATAGATTAAATACTTTTATTCTACTATTTTTAGTTTAACTTCAAAATTTGAAAATAAGTTAGTTTTGCAAATAAAAAAAAATCTTAAGCTTAAAGTTTATAGTAAATTTATATTTTTATTATAATTTATCACACAGTGCAACATATATATTTTTTGACTACAGTAATATATAATTAGCATAAGAGATAAACATACAATATATATAATATAATTCGGCCAAGCAGGTTAAATGGTTCCATGAAATACAAAATTTCAAAGTAAAAAATTAACTTTAAGTCAGGTTAGGTTAGAAATTTAAGGTTTGGGTAAAATACAATTTATGCAGAAATCTTTTTTTTGTTAGAGCTAACTACCTACGTTTTTATGTATTAATGTACAAATAAAAATTGTATACGTATTAAAATTATCGATTAACATCAATTTTTGGGTTATTTTTTTTTGCTTGCTTTGCATAAATCGGATAAAGGATTAACACCAAAGATGCTGGTGAAATTAAATTAAAGTGATAAAATTGGTGAAATTTCTCTAATTAACATATCAACCTTGCCTTGTTTTGCAATATAATAAGGAACAAACGAATCATCCCGGCGTAATTATTTTAAAAGATGTTAATAGAAATCATAAATGTGCTCTTTAAATGAAGGAAAGAATTACATGACTAATTGTGTTAAAATCAGCTTTGATTTAACAACAATGAGGGCATTGTTTTATTGTGATAATATAAAATATGCAGCATAAAAAAGAATGTGTATGGAGGTTCTACTTGATTTTCTCAATCGTGCTAATATTTTCCATTAAATGCTTTCGAATATCGGCTCACTGATTTCGAGTTTCATCTAATCTCTTAACTATGAATACGCTAGTATCCAAGAACCTTTCAACGCAATTCGTTAGGCAAGTCTCCTCTCCACGATCAATCTTATTACCAATCTTGGTGATACATTTATCCCAACAGAGATCAGTAAAGGTGTGGATCGATTGCTGAAGACGCATTTTAGCATTCTCTCCTTCGAGAAATTTGGCAAGTTCTTTTTGGGAAGCTTCGTCAAATTCGGGGTTACCGGCTTTTGTTGACCTGTAACTGCTTGACATTGCCGGTTAGCTTTTGAAATATACGAGTGTATTTTTTTTTTCCAGACGATTATTAGATTTAATAAGTTATATTTTATTGGCTGCAAATATTGATCGATATGCAATCAGTAAAATTTTTATCAGCAGTCACCTAATGCAGTAATGAAAGGATTTCACGACATGTGATTTTCCGAGGTTAATTGACTTCGAACAAATAACGTTTTTTGATCTCGGAATCACGTTAATGGAAAGTCGAAGGTGCGCATTAATAATATGTTATAGTAACTTTACTTAATATTGTTAAGTACTTTTTATTTTTTGTATTAAAATTTATTTTTTTCCCTAACACCTAGTCTGTATATATTCTGAATTACCATATCAACTCTATTGTTACCACTAATCTGTTTTCAAAATAAAATACACTCATTCTGAAAATTTTACTTATACAGTTGTACTTCTCTATAATCACTCAGTTTGTTCTATGCAAAAAATATGATTATAAAAATTATATTATTATGTGCTTATAAAGTATTTTTTTTAGTTTATTAATGAATTTGTGATTATATAGGAGGCGATTATAGACTATAAATAACTTTATTACATATGAGTGCTGCCAAAGAAAAAACTTGTCATGGGCGTTCAATTTTACCTTGACCGGACGCAATCAATAATAAATCAAATAGATTGAATCTGGCACAAAATATAATTGAAAGTCCGATGACAGGTTTTCCCTTGACAGCACTCATATATTTTTATATATTATTATAAACTACTATATAAAAGACCCAAATTTTTTTCACATTCTTTAATTTTAAAACCTTCAATAAACCCTGGGTTTATAAAAAAGGTTAACCGATCCAAGTGAAACTTTGAAAATATGTATGTTGATTTCCCGCACAAATTAATACACAACTATCGATTTGCATAGTAAAATTTTGACTTTATCAAATGTAGTCTAATTTCATATACAATATTGTATGTGCCACATAGTACGCAAATTGTAATTTAAATATTAATTATACGTATTATTAAAAAAATTTATGTAATGCATTTGCTACGTATACTTTTTTGCATTAAAAAATTATATTAATTATTAGTCAAAAAAAAAAAAAAAAGATATTTAATAGAATGGACACTTATTTCAATCAGTATATAAATTATTATAAATAACAGTTACTTCAGATCAACCATGCTTCTATATTGTAACTATCAATAAAGCTTCAATATTAACCGCCAAGTTCCAAATGTCCTTTGATCGCACCACCAACGTTAGTTAAATCTATCAAAAATGTATCATGCCCATACATAGAATCTAGTTCGTAATAAGTGACATCTTTGTTTCCGCCCCTTCTTAAACAATCAGCAATTTCTCTTTGCTGCCAATAAGCAAACAGTATATCAGATTGAACGCCTAAAACTAATGTTGGTATTTGAATTTTAGAAAGTCCTTGAACAAGATCATCAATATTATCACTACTTGTTGATGATAAAGAAGAAATGTGTTGTCTTTTTGAAGGTGAGGTTGACGAGGATGCGGGTGTTTCTTGTGAAGCACTTGCATTAGCGTAGCATGATGATACGGGAGTAAATCCGTGAGTTTTTATTGTCTCGATATTAATCTCTCGTTGTTTATCGAGAGCCTCCAATGCTGAGGAGGACATATCAAAAAGGTCCATTGCTTTGGATATATAAAGAAGCGAATTTGGATCGTATTGCAGGCAGAAACGCTCACCCTGTATAATGGTAATAAATAATCCTTGAAATTCAACCCTTTTTTTAAAAAAAATGTAGTAATAAAAATACCTGATAATCAAGGTAAGTTTCTATCAAAAAGTCAGGACAAAGGGCAGGTGATTGATCCTCCCGTTCGCGTTTCCTACCAAACCGCTGCTCCCATTCAGGGCCTGATCGGTAACTATAATATAATATTAGTAATGAATTAAATATTAAAACAAAATTTAAGTATATTCGACAAATTTATATTACCTAATCGTGGCAATTTCACGAGCTAACTGAAATTTCAAAAAAAATAAAATAAAATAAAAAATCAGAAAAGAGCTTACAAAATAACAAAGTTTTTTTCTTTTTACCTTCATTCCTATATGTGGAGGTATAGATTTATAATAAAATCCTTTGTTCCAATTAGGATCTGACATCAATACTGAATACATAATATAAAAAGTAAATATATATGAAGCATATAAATGAAATTGATTCATGTCAAAGTGCTGTATACCTTGTCGTTGTGTATGTCTAATTGCAATAGAATATGGATGTGATCTCGCACACGCCGATATGCTAATTAGGCGAGACATACGTTCGGGATACAACCATGCAGATGCCAATGACTAAATAGAATAAAAAATAATATGAAATTTATTACTGCACTGGTAATATTGATCTACATATAATGATATTCGTACAGAAAAATAAATACCTGCATTCCACCCATGCTGCTTCCTACAGTAGCATGAAGTTTATTTATCCCTAAATGATCCAATAATAAAAACTGCGCCCGAACCATATCAAAGATTGTCAAAATAGGAAATCTAGTCGCATATCGTTCGCCATCTGATGGATCAATTGAGGAAGGACCAGTTGACCCATAACAACCTCCAATTACATTGGTACAAATAACAAAAAATTTGTTTGTGTCAATAGAGAGACCAGGACCTAAAAATAAAGTGATCGGTTTGTCAAAAAATGAACAAGATATGATAAATACAAGAAATCAATATTCACCAATGAATCGTTCCCACCACCCCGGATTAACATTTTTTCCATGACTTTTAGCATGACTACTTCCAGATAAACCAGTTTGGATTAAAATCGCGTTATCCTTATTTTCATTCAATTCTCCCCAGGTTTCGTATGCTATATCAAATTTTGGCAAAACGCCACTGTAATCGCATAGGAATGGTTGTGCATGATGATAAAGTGAATATCCGGTAACAATTTTTTCGTAAGCTGGCTCTGGACCGCCGTCCAACGACCTAGTACGTACATCATGTTGATCGATACATGGAAAACTTAACGGAGGATTCGAACTTTTTGTTTTTGTTTGCGTAGTTGTAGAATCTACGGCAGGCTGTAATTTTGACTCTAGTGAGGGAGGAAATTCGAGTTTGAGAGGCACTGCCGTGGCATTTTGAATTTTTTTCGACGTATGAAATGCTGCAAAATAAAATAAAAGCATTCCAAGTTAGGAATATAACTATAAAATTTTGTATTCAGAACATACCGGATACTCGTGCTAACTGAGAGATTCGCGAGGACCAAACCTTGTGAAATGCCATCGCGTTTCGATAACTTGTATAATGAAGTAAAGTAGCCATTTAAACGTATATTGATGAAAGTTTAGATTCAAAAAAGAATTAATTTTTCTTGAAATTTTATGATTATCTCCATTTTATTTATGCGTTTGGTTAAATCAACACGATCTGCATTTTCAATATCATAATGATTAGTAATCTTTTATTTAAACCCACCTCGATAGAACGATAATTTCATAGAGCGATTATCTGTACACTGCTAATCAAATGCCCAATCATGATTTGAGTGACGCAAAGCGAAAAACATTTCTTAATCATATGATAGCATGAAAATCGAGAATTACAGTTTTTCGCTTGGTGGATACTACGTACGTATTCGCATTACATTATCGATTTAGAGGGTAAATCTTTTAAAGTTTATTACTAATAATAATTCGTATTAATAATCAGTTTAAAACCTGAGTGTAAAAACAATTTTTTTTGGATAGAAATTATTTTTAAATATGCTACGTACGTATATCTGACTAGAATTACATGTATGAAGATCTAATTTCAGTGCGACATATACTAAATATTCACAGAAAAGAATTAAAATACGAAGCACGAGAAAAAATAATTGCATTTATCTTTCAGGCTTAAGATCAAAAATCCAAAAATTGCTTTTCTAACATAACGATAATAAATCCTTATAAAAAAAATGATCTGGTTCGTTATCGCGTCAAATATATTAAATGTTGCGTCATTATGCAAATAAATGATAATATAGTAGTTTCTAGAATGTGGGCACGGTATCCCAGGGCATGCAAATCATAATAAATCATTAAATTGGTTCCTAGGTTTTCACTCTCACACGCTTATAAACTAGGAAATGCACAGCATTGTGTGTCCGAAGCTAGGATGTTTAGGATTAAGCAAAAGCATAATATGCGCATAATTTACCAAATTTTTGCATTTGTGAATGCGGGCAAGTAAGCATACTCGTCATGTGGATCAAATATGATTGGTTGATATGGACATTAGGAGTACTGTATATCGATATTATTTAATACTTAATTGCAATTATCAATAAACTCATGATTGACAGCCAATCAGGTATGCGGAGACAAATAGACGGAATGCACATGACACTATTGATCAATGGCAGACATGTCCTTTGCTGTGCTTCGGACAATAAAAAATCAACAAAAAAAACAATTTGAGTGCCATAGGAAGACTTTCGTATGATTGGCTGTTTAAAACAATTTCATCATTTAATTTCACATTATTTATACAAAAAATAATCAAAATCATTTTTGGTTTTTGAGAAGCTAGCAACTTTTTAAAAGTAGATTGAAAATAGGTTATTACTAAAGTCTTACAACTTCAATAAAACTTTTTATATACTTTTTTTTGTTTATTTTTCATTTAAAGTACTTTTTTAAAAAAAATAAAACTATAATTAAATTGATTTTGTAGGGTGTGGGTTCTATAGCTTAGCAGTTAAGCTTCTATACCTTTCACAGTCAAGGTCAATGGTTCAAGTCTGGCTGAAGGCAAAATTGAAAGATTTTAGCTTCTGTAACCTAATAAGAAGCC